CTGTAAACAGAAGTTCATCCTCACCTGTACACAAGTGTTCATCCTCACCTGTGGTGTTCATCCCCACCTGTAAACAGAAGTTCATCCTCACCTGTAAACAGAAGTTCATCCTCACCTGTAAACAGAAGTTCATCCTCACCTGTACACAAGTGTTCATCCTCACCTGTGGTGTTCATCATTACCTGTAAACAGAAGTTCATCCTCACCTGTAAACAGAAGTTCATCCTCACCTGTACACAAGTGTTCATCCTCACCTGTAAACAGAAGTTCATCCTCACCTGTACACAAGTGTTCATCCTCACCTGTACACAAGTGTTTATCCTCACCTGTGTACAGGTGTTCATCCTCACCTGTATACTGCAACGCATTAATAACAATGTGACCATTAACAGAAAACACAGAAAAAAAAGAAACCCTCTGGAATCATGTTAAGATCTCCGCCATTGATCTTCCTCCTTCATTTAATAAACTCATCTCCTTGAAGCATCCGGGCATCAGCTTTTCCTCTTTGCCCGCTCTCTGCCTATTAGTGTCTGCCCTCAGCTCGTCTCCCTTCTCTCCACGCGAGCATCAAAGCCACAGACATCAAGGTGTTACAGCCACTCACTAGAATGCAATTACCCCTCTGCTCACGCCGGTAAAACTAAATAACAAGCAGGCGTGCATGACATCTTTTAGAACCAGTGACAGGTTGTCCATTTAAAAAAAATGTAAAGACAGAAAGAGGTCAACTGTTTATGCATTATCCTTAAAAAAGTATTGTGATGCTTTTTTTGTGCGTTTCGTTTTGTAACCAGCCATCCCAAATGTTGTGATCTCCCATTTCTCTTTCGCACAACGTCTCTTTCTCTAATGAAGCATCATGTCTTTCTTCTCCTCTCGCCTCCACAGAGTCTTCTCAATCTCAATCTCAATCTTTACCTTCTTTGCTGCCCCCCCTTTTTTTTTTACACCTTCTACCTTTAACCGCCACTGGGTTTGTCAATGCAGACGGTGCAGAGTGCAAATTCACTATATGGATGCATCCTGTGCTCCAAGTGCTGGCTTCAGTTTCACTTCCTGGGCTCCTGTGGATCGACAACATATGTTCAATGGCTAAATGTAAAAAAAAAAAAAAAAAAAGTCATCTGCGCTTGTGGAAGCAATTTGACACACTCGGCTTTCCTCGACTCGTCTCTCTGATGCCTTCTTAAATGTTTTGGCAGCTTTCTCCTGTGCATTCTTCATTTTAGTTTCAGCCTCATTCATCTTTCCACCCTGTTTCTTGAAGTCCTTTGTCTGCGCCGTTTGGTTCTGTCCCTCTGTTGCCCTCTAAGCTACGTCTGTCCAACGCGCGATATCGCCCCCTGGACACGAGCGTAGACGCAGACGTAGCAAGGACAAAGGACAAAATTTACCTTGAAGGAAAACCATGGTGGCTTCTTGATCCAGGCTGCAACAAAAGGCACCAGCATTTGACAACCAAAGGGTGCTCAAAACACCATTTTAAGCAACGATGGGAGTCTCTTTTCTTTTCTCTCTCTCGCTCTTTAACACACATGGAGACACACACACACACACACACACGACAGGCTTTTAGGTAGACAGGACAGACAGGCTCTCCGGTGGAGGAGAAATGCTCGCCCACTGTGGGCCAACACGCTCAGCAGAGCGGCTAATTGCAGTGATAAATATGAGATGGTGGAGATGGGAGACGAAAGGCTCGTAGGAGCTCTCCTCACATGAACCTGGCGAGGGAGGTGGCTGTCTGAAGGGATTTACGCAGAAGCACGCGCGTGAAGAAAGTCCACAGAGCACACGAGCTAGAAAAACACAGAGAGAAAAACGGCCCAATTGGGATCATGTACTTGGTGTGTGTGCAATACTATCAAAAAAGCTCTAAGGATGAATCCTGAGATTCATCATTATATGGCTTCAACAGCGGCGACGACAATTCTTCCCCCAAATCGGCTTATAAAAATAATGCAGTCTACAGCGACGTGGCTCCGCAGCATGCAGGACACGTTGCTTTTGTTTTTGATTCTTTCTGTGAAACACGTTTTTTTTTCTCTCCACTCATCGCTGGCACCTCGGAAAGGGTTGTGACTGCATGCCGAATCAAACTGCTGTGGTGGAAGATTTTGCACAGACAATCGTTAAGTAAGAAACAAAGGCTCTGAGTCAAGTATGTCTTTTCTCCGTTTATTTCCTTGCAAGGGAAAAAGGGTCAAAACAGCTACGTGGTCAGTAGACTGTCAAGAACCTCCTTTTCCTCCCCAACACATCGAGGCAGTTCTTATACCTAAGTTTAGATATCGGTGGCGTCAACAGAAACCGTTGACCATCTTGTTGAGTATCTACAGCCAGGGTACTGGGAACATCTTATCCATGTGAGACACGTCAGCTCTTTGACCGTGTCCTCGCTCTCCCAACATGCTAAAACAAATGTGGTCATAGACATAACAAACACTTTGTTCAATCTCTACAGCTATGACGCTGGAAACATCTAATCCAAGTGGGAGACGTCAGTTCTTATGTCAGGGCCTTTGTCATCTAAGCACTTGCAATTAATAAACCGGTTATACAAATGAAGCATTTAAAAGGGTTACATATCATTTTCCCATTACACTGCTTTACACGGTTCAATCTATAAGTCGGCCATGTCCAACTAGCTGAGAAACACATGGAAATGAGAAGCAAGACAAATAGAGGTTGTATGGAATTGCACTAAATAGTTTACCCTTTGTCTTGCAAGGAATTTAAGTGCGAGACTTTTGAATTGCAGATTGTGATGGAATTTGAAGAAGATGATTTATTCTGTTTCAGATCCAGTACCAGTCAAAAGTTTGGACACACTTTCTCATTGAATTAAAGAGAAAAAAGGGTCCTGGAAATGTATATTCAGGCCAATTCAATGTTTTGTTAGACAAGTGTCTACGTAGTTTTTCCCTTCAGGACATCCTTGTGTCCTGCATAATTTAAATTATAGTCTGCTTCTGGGTCTGAGATGAAGTTGTGCCTCTTTTACTCACTCTACATAGCAAAGCGCAGCACGAGAGAGTCAGAAACACGAACGCTGTGGACGCCACAACCCAACTCTCAGACACTCGACCATTACATCCACTCCCGACATACAACATGTTTCAAATATCTGAAATATCAAATATCTGATAAAGCATCACATGTTGCTGAGATACGTAGAAAGTCAACGCGCCGTGTTTGAGCACCACCTGACTCTGAATTGACTTTCCTTCACAATTGCTTTGAAGCGCATGGAGTAATTTCAAGGTCACATCATTAAAGGTCCAACAAAATATTAAATAAATGAATTGCATGAATACAAATCTGCTGCCTTTGTTGCTCTGGAGGCTCCCTAATTTGGAGGACGAAAGATAAAACTTTCACAGCCGCAACTTTATCACAAATTCAACTTGCAAGTTGCATGAGATGGTATTTGGTAACTTTCCATAGGAGGGCACAATTCATTTTTACCAACGTCTTCAGAGGTAGTTCCTGCTTCATTTCTGTGGCTGAGTGAGTCAACGTGAGTTGTGTTCTTGGTCACCATCATGAGGAGTTAAGTGGTGTCGGTCGGCTGCTTTCTAACTTCCTCTCCGGCCTTTTCCACAAAACTCTTGCACAACTTAAAGTAAGATAAAGTTTTTGGATGTAGCGTCATCGTAAAGTCGCTTTACTCCTTTTTTCCTGATTCTCACAATTCAGCAGTAAATGAAATTTGAATCCTGACAAATGTGGAGGGAATTTTGCCAATTTTCAAAACTATTTTCATGCTAAGCGAAAATGCTGAGTTCTGAAAGATGCGACAGCTTGATCTGGGATTAAAAATCTATCCGCAGATGAAACACGGCCCAGCACACCACCGAAGCGCCTCAGCTTCCTTCCAATAAATCTTATCCGAGAGCGAAAACCAGTCGCTCAACATTTGTTGCTGCGTTACTTTCGACTATTATCCCACTAAACAGTGAACCAGGCGTTGAGAAAACCAGTCAATCATCGTCTCCCGGCTGAAACCAGCCGTGTCAGCACTGCTCCCAATCTCACAGTTTCAGCTGTTACGGCTCCTCTCGCCCCGCTAATGGCTTCGTGCTGCAGAGGTAGAGCGAAAGGAACACGGAGAAGGGAGAAGGAGGGTTACATCAGCGACGATAACAGAAAAGCTAACCCCCTTTGCCGACTGACTAGGCGATGTGCGTTTACGTATTCTTGTGTGAGCACCAAAAACACCAACACGTGAATTTAGTGAAATTCCACAGGAGAGCAACATCAACGAGCGGAAACATTGATGCAGCAACATCACGTGAGATCTTTGGAAGCAGAGTTTAAATATCTGGAGATTGACAGTGATTTTCTCTGATCTTTTGCCGTCAGCTCATTTCACCTCAGTGTTTTTCCTGCAGCCTGTGGTACGATCAATGACCCTGGAAGACTCCCCGGGCAGTTAGCCTCGACGCAAGCTGGTGTCCATTAAAAACCTTGATAAATGTGAGTATCAGGAAAGCCTCAGGTGTGGTTTTGGGGGTTTTGCTGACTCATGTGATTATATAAAAAGGAAGGAGATAGTATTGGGCTTTGAATAATAATCAGATGAAGCACACCACTTATTGTACATACATTTTTAACTCTTGGAGCAAAATGTCCTGAGTTCCCCATAATGTACACTGACCTTCCCGTTTGTCCTCTCTGAGTGTGTTGCATCCAGACGACACCAGCTCGATATCACGGTCTTAAAGACGCTCATGAAGCGACGGAGCACTAAAAGCACCTGATTTACATACTTTTTGAATAAAAAGCATCACACTTCCCCCGGGAAAAAAAAACACCATCGTGAAAACAAGTTGGATGTTCTCAGAAGTTTCCGGTTCCTCCCTCTTGAGCACAGAGACAAACGCATTGATGAGACACAACTGTTTGGACCTTTTTTTTTTTTTTGTTTCTGTTTGACAAGACTTTGGTTTGGCTCCACACCTTTTAAAATAATAACTTAAACAAAGAGATCAGAATTATGCCTGGCTTAGCCCACTTTTAATCCGACCCATCCCCCGTCTCAGAAAAATACATTTAATGGATGCGCCATGCGGTACAGAAGCACTACAGCTCAGACAAAACCCCCGCGTCTGCAGTGGAGGTGAAAAAGGTGATTGAAGAGGTAGGAAATCAACCAAATCTGCACACTAGTTTGTTTTCTTCATCTTCTTCATCTTCCTTGTCATTCCTTCGAAGGACAAGGGGCCTGCAGGGAGGGGGGTGGGGTTGGATGAGGTGGGATGGCTGGCTGGTTGTGGGTGTGAGGTAAACAACACCTCAGAGTTCAGCGTGCATGCCTAATGTGCTCCTCTCGCACCGCCGGCTCCGCTGGGCCAGGCCGCCGATGACGAGCTGTCTGAAGAAGTCTCTTAGTCCTGCAGCGCCGAGCGTCGGATCCACGCTGTCCAGCCGTCCACGTCATCTCTGCACACTTCCTGCTTCTGTCCCTGACCGGTTCTCGGCTTTCCTTTTGCTCCTTCAGACTGTCTTGGCACAACCCTCTTTTTCTCCTTCTCTCATTTCAAATGCTTATTAAATGCGAATTAAATCAAAATTGATGAATATCTTGTGAATAGTGTGCAGGAAGAAACACATTTTTTTGTGGCTTTGACTGATGTTTTTAGTAGATTCATAGCAGCAGTCAAAAATCACTGGGGCATTCCCTTTAACTTTGTACAATTTTATGAAATGCATTCTAATGATAATAATCATGGTTACTGGCAGTAATGCACACATGCAGATCAAAATACAAAGATATGTACAAATGTGAATTGTACACTCCTTAAGGTGTGTTCAGACTGAAGGCGAAGCTCATTTTGGAGGTGGAGTCATTGCATACGACTTCAACGTAGAGTGGCACAACTCTTTGCTATTTGAAAAGGTAGAAACTTTAGCAAACAATGTGTGCTTCTCCAGAGCTATCGCACTCCACTCTGTGCACATACAGAGACAAGAGAGGGGGGAAACAACAGAAAGGAAAATCATCCAATCCTGGTAAATTGCTATGATTCAGAAATGTAGCACGCACTCACCTACAAAGGCACACTGTGCACGCAGGGAGTCGGTGCATTGTTAAGTTTGTATAGCCAACATCTGGACCGTGGGTGCATTTGCTGTTTGCAGCATATCAACGCTCCACCAGTTAAATTTGTGTGAATAAAGCAAGAAAATTTGCTACAGTCTGTGCACACCTTTACAGCTATCTTTCAAAAGTTACCAGTTGTTCCGCCTGACCTTAGTTCAATAACCTCAATTGTTCATGTTTTCCAATTTCTCTTTACTGATTGGTTCCCGAGAGGGCAGACGTGCTCTCAGATTGGTTGTAGGTTCAGACAAGTAGCATCAAAAACAGACGGCAATGAAAACTGTGGTATTCTGAGGAGATAGAAATCACATTGACATCATTTACTCAGGGCATCCACATAGAACATTTATTGCTGCGTAGTCAGGCTTTAACCTTTGGTGTCATATTCAGTTGACACAAGGATTTGTCTCAGAAAGATAGGACGATATATCTTTGAAGCTAAAACAGCCCTTGGTTGCTCCGTGTTTTCCTTCTTGGACAAAACGGGACACTGCAGGAAAAGGCAAATCACTTCACCTGAAGTTATGAACACACACACGCACACAAGCATACACTTACACAACTGTCTTCAACACCGCTCTAATACCCAACACCATGTGATAGAACATAGTCGTCAAAGTGATTTTGCATGATTATAAAAAGGTAAAACCCTCAGTTTTTCTCGCATCACCTCATTCTTTTTGAGAAATAAAAAACAAAAACAAGGTAATGTTTAAAACAAAAGGGACACCACAGTCGACATCTAGAAATTAGGCCTTAAGATGAGCACCTCCTTTTTGGATGTGAGTGATTCATCAAGCGGCAGAGGCCAGAACAAGTTTGCATTAAAAGATGCAGAGTTTTGTTCATCGGTACAGTATCAGCTGTTGATGTCCAACTATGGTGTGAGAAACTGCTGCTACAACATAGTGTATGTGTGACGAAAATATGAGTGCATTGAGCGTCATTTCAAGAAAAATAATACTGTATTGCAATCCCAGAACCATGCTTAAGACACACTGTCCATAATCAAGATGTTGTGGTGTAACTTTAAAAATTAAAGCTTTCATAAAGATGATTTATGCTAATCGTGTCTGTTTTTTTCAGCTTTGGAGGCTAAAAGCAAAGTTCCCCGTGTTCAGGAATGTCTGTGAGCTGGAACGATCCTTGTGTGCTGAGTGCTGAATATGGCTGTTCCCATCTCTGGTTGCCCCCTTTGGACTCCAACATTTGAAAGAAAAAACGAAATCCGTGAGGAACCGGGGTTCCCAAGGAGAAACGCGCTGGAGGGAGCAATCACTTCAGCGCACGGGAGTTAGTTTGACATTTTTTGCTTTGTTGTTTTATACACCGTCCACACATAAAAAAATATTATAAAACTGGAAGCCACTGGCAGACAAAAAGTCCTAGACAACAAGAGATTGTGTGGGTTAAATGACATGGGGACAAAGTAACACTTGCACGTGCCTATTCTCTTTCCTACAAAAATAGTGGAATAAAAATCACATGGTTATCACCCAACATTGACATCTTGATACACTTCTGTATATAGATAAAAAAATCTTGGTTAAATGCAATTCCATCATGCAGTCAAGATCCCGAGCAACTCGTGTGGGTTTGTCCATTCATCACAAATCCTTAAGCATGGTGAGAGGAAGTTGTGTCAATGGAGTGCGCTTGAAGTTTCACTTCATTAGGGAGCTGTGAACCATTTATTTTTGGTGCACACAAGGCTGGCCCATGCACACGTTATTGTTTCTTCTGGTGGAGTAAAGCTCCATCCAGCTTTCTTTCTTACTCATTTCTCCCTGTTTGGGAGAGATGTTGGAGATAGAAGGAAAAATAACCAATTTCACGAATCACTCCATGCACCGTTATACCTCCGCGTCTGTCAATTTCTTTTCATTTTCCACCGCCACTCAAGACTAACTTGACAGAGGCACGGCGCTTTGATCAGTCAATACCCGTCTTCTGTTTCAAAATGATAGAGGTACGGGGAAGAGATGAGAATGATTAAATGCATGCCTTGCAGACCTCCGGCAGCGCTCCCACAAAGACTTTAAGCACACGCACTTGAACTCTCCTCCACCTCGCGTTTTACTCTGAACCCAGCGGAAGGTCCTGTGCCAGAGTGAGTGTGACTCGTTGTTTCCGTCTGCCGGAGCAGATGGACGTTAGATCCGCTTTCTGCTTTCCCAGCCAAACAAAAATGACCCGCCTTCTCCTTTCGCAGCCTTCCTTCCGCCTTAAAATATTCTGCCATTTTCCAAGCCTCCTCCCACTTACGTGCTGCACTGCCTCTGAGACGTAAACCGATCAAAACAGTCTTGGTTTTTACGGAGAGCTATTTCAGTTCGGACCCGAGCCGACGCGGCATAAAGCAAACTACAATCGAGCAAGAACAAGGATCCTTCCTGTGTCTTCAAGTTGAATCTCTTCTTTCTTTTGATTCTATTGGCTCCCTGATACGAATTGGTCTCCTGGTCTTCCAATGTGAGCAAAACCTTCAAAGCAGTCCTTACAGGTACATCCTCCAAGAGGGTATAAGGCCTTGATTCTGCATCCTCACCAGCAGGCTATAACCAATACCCTTCCTTAGGTAGCACGAAATACGATATGGGCTTGTCACAAATGTTGAGAAAGGGGTTGGGGGTGTAAGATGAGGGTTCGGCTTTGGAATACGGGACATCATGTGTCATCAAGCCTCTCTCTCTCACTGGTGAAAGCAGAGAGAGTCAGAGGGACAGCTAGGGGTTTAGATCCAAGGAATGGAGAGACAAAGAACAGTGAACAGTGGGTTTCATCTGTTTTTCCGACACGGTCCTACTGTCGTTTGGCTTGAGCTCTTCCCTTTGAACCCTTGCTCGCCATCTCCCATTTCAACTCGTCCTTCTCCTCTTCTTGTATCAACTAACACCCCTGCCCAGGGGTTGGCCAGGAAGCCTTGGGGGTCCATTAGCTCCATGCCCAGAATCTCCCGGCGTCCCTCCCTGGGACGCGACGACAGCAGCATCCCCCCTTGGTCCAAGCTGCCTGTGCTGTTGCACTTCTTCACCACCCCTTCTGGGTACACCAGGGAGCTGGGCGACAGCAGCGATGTCAGCGACAAGCTGCTCAGTGTCTCTGACAAGTGTTCACTGTTGCCCGCCTGGCTGGAGCCACAACCACCAATTGACGATCCGATACCTATGCCCAGGTCCTCGTCCGAAGGGTCGATGGAGTCTTCCCTGGCGTAGCCCGGGCTGGTGCTACCTCGCCCACTGCTCTGGCTACGCTGGTGGCCCCTGGTGGCTTGGAGGGTGAGGGCTGATGAGGGGCTCGGCCGGGGTCTCAGGGTCCGGATAGGGGAGGAAGTGGCAATGTCGTCTTCAGGCAACGGGTGTGGCAAGGGAGCCGTTGGCAAAGGCAACTCTAGGTTCTGTGGTGGAGAGATGCTGAAGCTCAGTCCCTCCTCCAGGGTGGTCTGGAGGCTGCCTTCAGAGCTGCCAGTAGCAATGGACGAGTCACTGTGGGACGGATACTGGAGACAGAAGGAAGGAAGAGAGAAAGAAAGCACATGGTACAACATTTATTTTCATTGTGAATGTAAAAATTACAAATCCTCTGCTAACTTCAGGCCATTTCTAACCCAGATAAGAAGAGAAATGAATCCTCTTTTCTTGCTTCATTGTTGACATCAATCTAATTACTCTGACAGAGAAAAATCTCAATCTATGTGAAATAATATTCATCTGAGTTTTTCCCCTCCCTTCCCCTACCTGTGTGCAGAGCATCTTGTTATGGGCTCCTGGGGAGCGGAGCGATGCCCAGGAGTCGGGAGAGGTCACTCTAAGGCCCCTCGACAACCGTAGGCTTTTACTGCGAGGAGGTGCCGGGATGGTTGCTCCTGCAGGCTGGAAGAACTCTGCAGGCAGACTGAAAAGGGGAGCAACGCCACTGGCTCCTCCAACTCCTCCTGTGGTCCTTTCCTTGTTGCTGCTGCTGCTGCTAGAAACGCCGCCTTGCAGAGGGAATACACTCTTTCCATTTTAATCCTGGTGTCGTTGTATGGATAGTAGACAACTTTTCTTCTGTTTAATTAATTCCATTTTACCTACAACCACTAATCCTTTGGCATGTAACCCTCAGGATACAGCAACAAATGAAAACAGAAATGAATAAGTTGAACCATATACAGTACAGGTTTATTCACCAGGGCTACAGTGAGGTTGGTGTGTTAGCATCTCTTTCCCCTGCAGTGCAGTCTCCACCTCGATGCCAGTGCTGGGCGGCCGGCAGGGCTGGCCCGACCCTTGCACCTGGCTCTGCACCACGGTCCGGGTCTGGTGGCCTCCTGCGTGACTTCCTCCACCTCCAGCCTCTTCTGAGCTGTGGGAGTCACTGCTGCACCTTCCCTAGAATAGAGCAGATGACCTGACATTGAGGAGAACGTCGTTTCCCATGTTTTCAATGAAAAGAGAAAATTATTGCAAATTAAGACATAGAGAAAGTACAATTTAAGCATTATATTTTTTTCAAGCGACAATATCTGGGCCGAGTCTAATAGAAAATAAGTAGAGCAAAATGTAGCCCCTGTGGCATCTTGGGAATATCAAACATGGCCTCTGTTTAACGTCATCTCGCAAGCATTTAAGTGCCAGTGAAAGGGTGGGGGCTGATCATAAGCCGACAGAGCCCGTTATTGTCATGTTAGGTATTGAAACAATAAATGTTTGTTATGAATGAGTCGGTGTGTGCGACGGCTGCTTGCAACAAGCGGGAAGCAGGAGGTCGATTAAGGCAGGACTTCAGCTCTGTAAGCTCTTACCTCAAACCTTTTAATTACCGTCATGTAGGGACCGCAGAATAATTTGAGTTGTGCTCGTGCGTGCGTGTGTATGCTCTTGCGCTTCCACTATAATTGTGTGTTATTGTACCTCAGAGTCATTCAGTCGTGGCCCCTGAACGGCCCACTTTCAAACAGGCAGTCAGCCACACCTATAAAAGCTTTACAAAAAAAAACAAAAACACAAACACACGCACACACACACAAATACACAAAAATAGATTTTTATTTCAAAAATAGTTTTGGAAAAAAAAAATCCCGTAACTCCCCTTTTGCTTTTTTTTCCCCCTCGCCCCCCCCCCCCCCGCCCACCCTTCTAATGAGCAGTGTTTCTCAGGCACGCTTGAGGCTAGCAGGCTTATCTGGCTATCCAGAACCAAGGAGCATTACCCCATTACAGCTGAGGATATCTAGGAGGGACGGACGGTAAGGGATGGAGATACAAGGTCTAGAGGGAGGTGCAGGGAAGGTGTGCAATTACCCGTGAGGTAGCACTGAGAAAGGACGAGCATGAAAGATAAAATCGAAAAGGGGGGGAGAGCGAGTGCAGGAGAGACACCCAGGACTGCAACTAGGAACGGGCTAGTTTTATTCATGAGGGGAGACTGTGGATTCTTCAAAGACAAGATAGTTTTCAGTGATACGCAGAGAGGAAGAGATAAGGTTCCTGTAATTCACGAGAGAGCCCGCAGCAAAGGCAGGAAAAATATTTGTGAAGGGCTATTTGTTTTGTGTTAAAATGGATGGAAAAAAATTACCACTTTTTTGTGCTCCTCCTCCTCAGGAACTCTGACCACGTTGCTGATCAAGATAGCGGGCACACCAGAAGTAAACCACGGTGAATGTGTGGTTCGATGGGGTTTTATTTTTCTCATTTTCTTGTAAATTAGACGAGCAGGTATACAGCCCGCCTGTAGTTACCCCGCGGCAGACAATAAAGCAGATCGTTATTTGATAGTTATTACTGCGATGATGATCATTTCATTAGGATTCCTATCTGAGCAGCACGAAGAACAAATATTGGTTGAAGCTAAGATCCTTGCAGAAGGCACAGCGTGACCACCAATCAAAGCCCGGCTGTCACTTTTTTTTGGTATGAATTTTAATTTCCTCACATAGATGAAAAACAGCCTTTTTCATTTAACATTTACAGCAATTTTTTTATTAATGTGCACTATCCCTTATCAAATAAACCAATAAATAAACACTGTTTCTCATTTTGGCCTCACAGAAAACGAGCCGTCTCCGTGATAACGGCATCGATGCGTTTCGCACTCAACGTTTTTTTTCAAGCAGTGGAATCTCACACCCACCTTCCCCTCTCGCGCCAGCAGCTGGTAGGCAGTGTGTTCGTCCAGGCTGAGGTCGTCCGGCAGAGCGGGGGACGAAGACTTGTCCGACAGTTGCTCCGACTTCAGCGACGCCTGCTCTATCTCCGCCATCCTGATCTGCTACGAAAACGCACCTCCGTCACTCATCTCTTAACAACAGCACGGGGTCGCCAGTGGGGACAGCCAACTGGTTATTGGGTTAATGAGTGGTCAACACATTGCATGGTTTATTCTATGGTACACAACCACCTTGGCTGCATAGATGACACATTTCTACAGGATCACACACGACGTGAGCTACACAGACAAGATTGGGTAAAAAAAAACCTCTTGGGTAAAAGTTTCGATACGCTTCACCAGATGTCGACATGTGGGCAAAAAGCTGTGGCCGCTGTCTGTAAAGAGAGCAATGGGGGGAGAGGTTTCAAGAAGCAACGACATTACCCAGTCGTGCTTATTGAGCAAAATAGGTGAAAAGAGAGGCTGAAAGAGAGGTCAAAGGGCATATGTGCATTGCAGCAAGTAAAAATGTATGTTGTCTCTGCATGTTGTGTAAGCAGGAGTGAATAAATGATATATTTCCCCATCCAGAGTGCTGTGAAGCAGCAGCAGAATCTCATCATTTTGCCCTTATAGCAAACGGAGTCTGATTAATTCATAACAAACACAGAATAATTACACCAGCTGTTGATACCTCTCTCTCTTTTATCTTTCATCAGGTAACTCAGCTCACAATGGCTACCGAATTGGTTTTAAATTAACGCTACAAGAGCCTCCCGAGGGCGAGAGTTTCCCGGCTGACGCGCTTCTCTGACTTACCGTGGCAGCACAATTTCAAAACATGCGCACACACTGAGCCGGAGTGGAACTCAGGGTTCTGAAGGCGTCACAGAGGAGCTCAATAACCGTTTCTTTAACCAGACACAGCAATGAAAAGCCAGAGAGCATTTAAGAAGGGCCCAATGAAATCCAATGGAGTGAGGCCTGTTAGCGATATCTTAACACGTAACCCGTAAGAAGGACAAAGAGGATCATAGAGAATGATCCAGAGCCAATGCGTAGCTGTAAATGATTATTGCACATGGCGGGAGGGAGAAAGAGAGGAAGGGGGAGGGAGAGAGAGAGAGAGAGAGAGAGAGAGAGAGAGAGAGACAGAGAGAGGTGAGGTGGAATGAGGCGAGGAAGCAAAGCATATGCATTGCATTGAAACTCATTCATTTAAGGGAGCACTTTGGAGTTTTTACGCATTCCCTCCGTATATCGGCCGTCCCTAATGCTGTTATTTGACCGTGACATATCTGCTGATTTGCTCCAGCTCTCAAAAATGGGCTGTAAATAACTTCAAAAAACGGTCCATGTGAGTCATCGACTGGTTCATCAGCAGGTAATGGAAACTACAGCCTTCCTTGTGTGTATTTCTTTCTGTTTACCAGACTCCTGGTACAACAAAAAAAAAGCCCCAGCGGTACAGGAGGAGCTGCTACACAGGTGCTTTCGAGGTAAGCAGACTTTTTGAAAACCATTCAAAAATGTCCACCCCAGTCTTGCAGCATTGCAGGGGAAATAAAAATAAGCAGTGAAAAAATAATCATGACTGAAATCTCATGAGCACATTGCAAGATTCCAGTGTGGACATTGTAAAGCGTGGGCCATAATTCATGTAAAACACAGGAAACACCAGCAGCCGGACGATTGTTTACAACACACAGGCCGGCCTCCTGCTGTCCACCACAGGTGTTGTGTTACAACTTTTGGGAGAAATTCAATGGTTCAGTCATAGTTGCATGAATATAATAATGTTTTCTGTCAAATGCGCAATGGTGAGAAGCAGCAACTCGGTGTCCTTGCTTCCCCTTTAGACACAAAGCCATCCTACAGAACTCGGCGGTGAAAGACGCACCCACACCGGCTGTTCACATCCAAACAAACAACATGCAACTCTGGTGGTTGAAGGACATTTAGAAATGAATGACAACAGTAAAGCGTTAGATACAATACATTGGAGATAGATGGAGGGAAAGCCAGAGGGGCGGAGGGACTGATGTATGTAAAAGCATCTGCAGACAGGCAGACAGCAGGGCCGACAGGTGAGGAGGTGTAGAGCCCAGTTATTGCTTCTCCTGAGCTGAACCACTGCGCTTTGTCATCGACAACACTGGCACAGGATTCACTACGACTGTGAGTGCGTTTTAATGCGGGATCTCCGGAGTACAAAACACACTCAAAATGCAAGCACAAGTAAAAAAGAGTGCGTGCATATCGGCATGCATATCAGGAATGGTTGCATGTGTGTACGCGTGCAAACGGGCCTCATTAATCCACATTTCTGCAGTTATGGAATCAATTGAGGGCTGAAATCCTGTGTCATACTGTTAAATAATAGAACATACATTAGTCGACGAGCTTTAAAAAGAATGTTCTTCAGCAACTCTTCCTATTCAAACTGATTTCTGCGATAAATGAAGCCCTCTGCTTGTCTGTTTCTATGAAAGTACGTGCAAATGCATGCCAACACGTGCTTCCCTGTTACAAATGTGCATGCACATAATCAGCTCCCTGGACATCATGGTTTTGTGTGCGTGTGAGTCTGTGTGTTCTGGGTTTCAGGACTTGGATAGTAATAGATTGAATTGTCAAAAAGTACGTTTTCCGCACAACGGAATAGATATAGTGCACACTATATGTTTTCTTATACTGTCTTCTGCATATTTTATGTGTGCTAAGGGAGGTACAGTATGAGTCCTTCAGTCGTATTTCTCAGTTTCTATATCCACAACTGTTTGGGGCTTGCATGCAGGGTGAATGCATTTCCTCAAGAGCATTTTCATCAAAGCCCTTCGGCCCTGTTTACCAAGCATCACAGAGCGGTGAATAAGTCCTGACGGACTCAAGACTTCTCTAAATGACCTATATTTTGGTTCTACTTTCATAAATCAAGATTTGTAAATGTTACTCATCTTTGCAATTATCTATGTCCACAACTGTGGGTGTTACATCCCATTATGGCCTCTCATATGTGTGAGTACATGAATGCGTATGCATTATCTATTTACGTATACTCATGTATATGAATGTATGTGTATTCATGGTCGTACCTCGTGCGGATGACCCTTGCAATTTCTGCAGAGGGGTGGAGGAGAAGCATAGTGGTGGAAAACAGAACCGGAGAGGTTGTCGATCATCAGCATCTCCCCCTCCAGTGTATCCTTGATTAGAAGGGAGACGCTGTCCAGCCATTGGCTCTCCTGGAACACGTTCACACACACACGCACGCACAACCACGCACACACACACACACACCACGACAGACATACACACGGACGCACACGAGACGCAGGCCAGCAGACCAGTATTGCACGCAGGTGCAAACATGTGCACATGCGGACATGCGAGGACAGAGAACACGCAGGGAAATGCATAAACCAAAGTAAGGGTTATACAAACGTCAGGTGTACACAGAGGTATGCTGTTAAACTCAATGTACTCACACAAAAAATGTACAAAACTGTACACGCCCACACGTGTGCACATTTGACCCTCATCCATGTCAATTTTACAGCCTTTGGCCTTTATTCATTCTTCCATAAAAAAAAGAAAAACACCTGAAACACGCTCTCATACTGTATTGGCCTTTAGGGGCTAAACACAATTAGCTTTTGGTATAAGGATCTTCAATAATATGACTCCACACCCACATTAGCCAAGTAACTTTATTATAATTGCATCATCAAAGCCGTGAGCCCCGAGAGCGGTGCTAAGGTACTATCACCTTAATTAGGCTGTTCAATACCGTGTTGAAACAATTAAAGATTTTAGCATTGGCTTTGTGCTCTGGGTACGTTTAAAGTAATTCAGACTGAGTCACTCAGAGCTTTTTCTGAGACTTACATGATTCCTCATTGCTGGAATCTCATCTGCCAGATTGTTTTTTCCCAGAAACCGATTCGGTAGGAAAAGGAAACTTGTTATATAATCGATTTCGGTGTTTTCTGGCAGGTATCTGGTATTTCACAATGAATTAAATCTATTTTGCTTGACTGGAGCACATTCATAACAGCCAGAATAACCGTGTTATATCAGCACAAGTATCCCAAAATCTACTCTGAAACAAGGTCACTCCTCTTCAAACCCCACACAACGTATTTTTACAACAATGCTTATCGGACTATTCTTGGATATCTTACGCAAAACCACTTTTCTGACTCAAGCGGTTACGCTGCAGTCACTCGTGGCTCCTGGATCAAGAGATCGGTTGCTGCACTATAAATACGGCCAAACGATGCTGGTTTATGAAACAGTGTTCTAGTGCCGCATTTTGGCAGGAATAAAAAACACGGAAAAAAAGCGTCAGTAAAGCTGACTGCTGAAAAAACAGACGGTCCCGAGATAATCCATTCCGTGTAGGTGGAGAGCTTGATGAAAAACACGTTTGATGGACTGCGGTGGCCTCCATTAATAACTGTATTAGTGGGCAACAATGGGGCACGTCTACTGGGAATGGAAGTTGAGCGCGAGAGCTGAAATTAATTACTCCGTCTATCTGACCGTCTCCGGCGCAGCTATTATCTCTCCCCCCTTCACTTCCTTCCTCCCCCACTGCACGCGTCCACTTCTCACAGTGTCGCCTCGCTTTGCAATATGTCGCTGGTGTTTCACCACAGAGAATCACTTCAACGGCACATCGTGGAATGTCCTCGCTCTGCAGCTCCTGGATTCTCCTCCAACCTAAATCTCACAGCATGGATGACTGAGAAATCCAAGAGGTATGTTTCTAATACAACGTCTCAAGGAAAATAATTTGTATTTGTTCAGTGTAGCGTCCGATAACATGAGTATCTCAAAATATTTAGGCACCATAGGAGAAGACGTCACTCGAGAGAGACCGAGAATGAGGTAGAGAGACAGAGACAGAGATAGAGAGAGAGAGAGAGAGGGGGGGGGTTGATGCCGGTGAGTTCTCGCTGGTCTGCGCTAAGTTTCTTTGTCACGCTGAGCTAAAAATGACTCCACTCTGCCGACTTTAGCTCTGCGAAGGTGAGAGGCTCTGTGTGGCAGCCGGTGAGTCATCTTTACGCGGGCCTCTGGGCGGGCACGCGAGACGACCAGCGGAGACGCCGTAAGGGTTTGTGCCCTCACAATGCCAGTAGAAATGAGGGACCATCTACTCACACGCAAACACACACACACACACAAACACACACAATGTGCAGGTGTACCAAAAGCCTTTTTTATATATATATATATATATATATATATATATATATATATATATATATATATAACATCTGAATGTGAGCACTGACACCTTAGTGAAGCTGGAGTGTAAACTTCATTGAGAAAGCGATTCAAGTTGTTCGTCCCTCTTTGCTGTCGACACGGGTTGCCATGACAACAGTGGAGCGCACACATGTACTTGGGATTGAAAAATACGGCCCAGCTTTGACGTTCATCTGCCTAATATCCATTTGTTAATTTGCTAATATCCACCCATTTGCTTGCTGTTTCGAAATTGCCTTTAATTCCAGCCTAATGTTTTAACATTCATATTACGCAACTATATTACAATTATCCAATGCTGAAATTAGGCAAAACTTAGTGTCTCTTTCTCTGCCTTTTTCGGTATTTCTTTTTTGCTCTCTATGTGTAAATGTTTAACCTTCCTTCTCACAAAATGTGTCAAAGAAAATGAACAAAAGTAAAACCCATTATTTAAAGAGATGAGTCGGTCCATTTCCCAATAGGAAGCACAGTAATGATTCACAGAACCTGCATAGCAGTTACTGCCATATTGTTTATCCCTTTTGTATTCGTCCAGTTTCTGAATCAAATGTGTAATTTTCTCTACATAAACTAATTTATTGTGTAAAGAGAAGTAAGCTGACATTCTCTCTAGGCATTCTTTAAATTATCAAGCAATTATTACATATGTTAGAATTGCATTACGCTTATTACGCTTTCCACAAACCCTTAATATATATTGTATATTCTCTTATTGTGTGATCAATGTTTTAGGTTTTTAGGTTTTAAATTAGAACTTAGGAAACTTTTCTTAATCATCCTTTTGAACAAAATAGAGAGATGTGGAAGATCAGGCGTCACAAACGGATCTGAATCAATGAGGATCTGAGGAGGCTGAAACCGGTCCACAAAACCAAACTTCACTAAGCCCGAACCCGATCCTGCACGTACCTACTTGCATATGCACACTTATAAAAGATAGACCTTTCACACTGTCAGTTAAAAAACACACACACACACACAATCCTAAATATACACACTCACTTGTGCTGGTGAGTACAGCGCTCGGCCCGAGTCGCGGGAGCTGTACGCTCCTGAGCGCGCGCTGCCGGCTGAATGAAGCACCCTGCGCACTCCTTCCGCCCGCTCCCCGCATCCTCTGTCGCTGCCCCCCGCTGTGCCTCCGGGTCCGGCGTCCACCAGTCCCTTGTCCACCCTCGCGCCCCCGCAGCCGGGGGCGCCCATGCAACAGAGGGTGCCCTGGGCCAGCTCCAGCTCAATTTCTGCATCCATCTCCGCCTCCTCTTGGGCCTCCTTGTTGGAGTCGTCCAGGTGCTTCATCAGCACGGCCACCACCACGTTGATGAGCACGAACTGGGCGGTGAGCACGAAGGAGACAAAGTACATGGGCGAGATGAACTGGAGGCTCGGGTTGCAGGCGTAGTCCACATCCGTGCCGTGGTCCGGTGGGCACTCCCGCAAGGTGTCCTGGTGCGGACAGAGGGAGAAGATGAGGGAAAAGGTCAGGACGAAGAACGAACGGGGAAAAAAAAGACAAGCTAAAAGGGCTTTTGGATGAAGCTTTATGAATCTACCAGATCACCTACTTGACGGCAACAACTCAGGATTTCTTATATTTTACATTTTCTAAAATATCAACTAGAAAGTCGAGATCTAAATGTGCTTTTCACAACGCTGTGAGCTCAGAGAACACTACTCTATGGATGGAAATTGGGATTCATATTCAAGATGTTTTAGTCAAAGGAATGAATTGTTAACAAGGCTCTTTGCATGCATGACAACTTGTATAATCATCACACACGTAATTGTTTTGCGTCTATTCAAAACAACAGGAGCCCCCCCCCCCCCCCCCCCCCTCCCCCCACCCCTCTATTCTAGTGATTTTGCACTGCGGTGAAATACGCGCTCGGTCGAGTTCATTCAGAGCAGAACCGAAGTGACAAGTGCTTTCTGGAGGCTGTGACCACACATAAGAACTTTAAAGCAGTTTTTCCATCTTATTTCTGTACATCATTCCATTCAAATGTCCATTTGCTTCCCCTTTTTCCTCATTTTTCTCATGTGTACTTTCCTCTCTACAGGAAAGAAATCATAGGTTTCCCTTCCCCTCTTCCTCAATGGTGCCTCCTTTCTTCTTACCTACTTAGAGTAAGTAGAGGTTCCTGTCTCACAGCCCAGGTGGTAATTTGACAGCTAAAATGACAGAGATTTAATTGCATCTGCGGCCCGCTGGTTTGCTCCCCCCCAGTCTAGTGTGTGTTTAATGGTCCACGCCTCATGACACCCACCAGCATCTCCTTTGCCCCTCGCAGCCCTCTGAGTGCGGAGGAGCTGCGAAAGCTGCGTCTGGGAGTAGATGTGTGTCCAGGGTAAACTGCGTATTTTGTGTGTGTGTGTGTGTGTGTGTGTGTGTAATGAGGCGCAGTCAATCCTCCGTCTATCAGTAAGGAAATCTGCGCTGCCGGTGCTGAGCAAGCACACTTGACAATCACCAGAGTGTTTGCCTCAGAGCGCCTTCACACTAACTTCTCTGCTTCAGCGTTTTCCTCCTACTGAAGCACCCAAATGTTAACTTCCTACCTTCATGATGCCATTCCAGTTGTCGCCCGTGGAGACTTGAAACAGGGTCAGGAAGGCCATGCCAAAGTTCTCAAAGGTAGCGTGACGACTCATACCCTCACATGGGTAGTCTTCATTACAGACTGAGGAAGGAAGTCAGAGAAGAAGAAGAGACTTGTGAGTTTGAACACTCAACACTTTTCAAGCACATTTCATTGTTTCCAAAAAAACTGCAGAGGCAAGCGCCATTTTTGTGAGTGTCCAAACAAGCCGACTGCCTGTTATCAAAGCAGCGGAATGTGACCAAACACTCTCTGTTTGTCTCTGAGCTTATATCCCAAGATAATCTTTGGGATGGTTTCAAGAATGAAGAAAGCGACACTTGCATCTGCCACTAATCCTTTTCCTTCCATCTCCAATAGGAGGAAATGTTGCCGTGGGCTACAGCTGCAGCACACAAGGGGAATGTGACAGTTCAGAGGCAATATCTTCCAACTTCAATGTGGATATTTTAGGACAGTATGTATCAGAATATTGAAGGGTGGGTTGATTCCCTAATGTCTGTCTGACTGCAGGGGAGAGAATTGATGAAAAGGAATAAAGGATGGAGAGGAAATAAGGAGATTTTCATAATAAAGTTTTTTTAAAGCTTTTATATGCATACGTTGAGTTAAAGCAAAATGAGAGCATTTTTTTGAGTCCACAGAAAGACAGTTAGTTATTTTATAATAATCCCATTACTTTGTCGCACAAACCCAAATAGTTTTTTTCTGTGATGGTGTAAATTTTCACAGTTTTGTTTCTCTTGTCTTTAAATGACTTGTTTATAAATTATTGCCAAATGTCACAAATGGAATATATGTTCCATTAAATTGAGGTTTTAGATTTAGATTTATTTAATTATTATTATCTAATATCCCAGACTGCATTTATGTATCTGTAGTAAGCTGAGTCTTTATAGTCTTCATAGGAATTAAAAAAACAAACTGTACAACACACTTTATTCAAAGTTTACCTGTTGATAAAAAAGTAAGCGCTTTTGCTCGACATATAATCCTTTTACAGCGGAGCGTCTGGATGTCATGAGCACTCACCATGCTCTACACACAGCTCCACTCATAAGGCGGTGTAGATGAAAAACAGCAGCGTGGAGCGCACGCACATGTTACCCACCTGCGAGATACACACACACACACACACACACACACACACACACACACACACACACACACACACACACACACACACACACACACACACACACACAGAAGAGAAAGTCTTACCACCACACATTAAAAAGAACATTTGACAACATCCACATTACTAGAGTGCTACCTCAACAGTTTCATGGCTGTTTTAAGCTCTTATTAAATGATAAACTCAATATCAAGACTACCATAAAAAAGGCCCATGGATTATTTCTAGCTGGCTGCTCCAATTCCCCTCTAAGTTCTACAAACAATGGCACAAATAGTCACTATAACCACACTACAAGTTGGGATCTCTCTACCTGTTTATGAAAGGAAAGATCATTCAATCCGATCTTCACTTTCTGGCATTTGGTCTTAGAATAATGCATTAACATTATAGCTATGAATGCTTATTTGAAAGAGATGGCATAGGCGTATTCCAAATAAAGTTCATTTAAAAAAACGGAGATACCCGCAGTCTTTTTTGCTCTGTTCAAAGAGGGTCTGTAATGATGCTTAAGTTATGAAAGAAAAGCTTTGATAATAAGACCTGGTTTGAAAGGGAAAGCTCTCTAAGCTCAGCCAAGTCACAACGAATGTGGTTGGATTCATATTTTATAAAATTGATTTCTAGCAATACATTTCTAGCATGACATGGACTTAATCTTGCAATCATCTATCTTAAATTCAAGGTTGAAACGTTTGCTTATGTGTCTCCCATCCTTTGAAATTCAATGCAATGATAATTGATAGGAGGAAACCGGAACACAATTTGACTCACATAAATTGCCTGATGTGAGTCACCTAGTCCATTCTAAACGTAATGAAAGAGCTTCAAGAGGCGGTGAATTGCAAAATTAAAAATCACAGAACAGAAATGTTTGCCCACATCTACAATTGAAATATGCAAGTTTACTTTTGATGGAGAAAAACGAAGCCCCATTGAAAGCTGCAAACTCCGATGAGTTCATACGGACTGAAGGTAATGGAGGTATAAATATAACCCTTCATTTGGAGGACTGTACTAATTCTAAATGTGAGTGTTCTGGGGTTTGCACCGTGTATTCTATCCAATATATAATATTCACTCATGCTATACGGGACACAAATAAACATGGGCTGCAGAGGTATGGCAGTTGTGATTTACCCTACAAAGGAATAAAATAAACATGAGCTGCAGAAGTTTATAATAATAGATTACACTACACAAGATGAGAACCACAACATGAGCTTTACTATTCATATGAGTTATATTTTCTGAACAAACTTGTTTCTTTTATTTCCAAGCTAAATACGAAAGGCTTCACAGGACGCTCTGATGCCTTCTCAAGCACATTCCACGTGGGGTCGGCATCTGCCTGCGGAGACTCCGGAGGTTTTTCAGCCAATCCCAGAGAAGAGATAAAGCAACTGGCTCAGCTGTGGCACCAACGGGATGTGGGCTATTAGCGAGAGTGAATGTTGCAGCCATTTTGCATTATTTGGGGAGCCACAGGATAATGGAGGACGCTGGAGCGTAAAACTACTTTGTCTTACTTCGTTCTTTGTAAAGACACGCCGTGAAAATGCATTTCTCTTAACGACGATCTACTGTGGTTCCTCAAGCATTCAGTCTGAATGTATGGATACGTCGTTACATCTCAGCGTCCCGTCATGGGCTATTTAATACATACAAGTTGGATTAGCGACATGTTAAAGCTCATAAATCAGTATTCCAGTACGTCACACTGGTCTCTGCGTGCCATGACGGCATCATCCATATTTATTAACTTCTTCCACCAACATCAGTGCATTTAAAGCTCTGCTCAATCTCTTGCCAGGTGTGACGCTTTCAATCGCACCTTTCCAGAAACTAAATGTGCACACGCACCGATACAGAGGGAGACCTCCTGGAAATGTTTAATTAGCCTGTTTTAATTACCTCACTGGGGCTCTTGGGATAGAGAGCAAAGGGCTAAGTGTTAATGAGAGGGTTGATCAATAGAAAAGGAAGACAAGGAATCTGATTAATAAATATGAGGATTTTGGAGGCAGCCTATGAAAGCCACTCCCAAACATAAAAAGATAAAATAGTATATTTGTCTTACGCATAAGATTACGCGAGAGAGCAAAATGCAACCCGTCAGTGAGAACGGCGAGGCCAAAATCCCTTCTGGGAGTTTCCTACAGCGTTGAACCTTCAGTACAACCGAAGGATTTTAAACCTGGGACGGCCTAGACGCTGACGGACGCTGACGGACGCTGACGGACGCTGCACCAACACACAAGCGAGGGCACGAGCTCTCTCCGCGGAACTGGAAGTGAAAACCAGACAAAGCCTGTGGCATGTAGGAGTCGCCTACTGGCCAACAGAGGAAGAGGAGGAGAGGAGTCGCTATTCCGGTTATTGACTGAGGCTCTCTTGGTGAGAAGGGAATACAGCGTGTGTGTGTGTGTATGTGTGTGTGTGTGTGTGTGTGTGTGTGTGTGTGTGACGTGTGTACCTGAGGCAGGGCTTGGACCACCGTATCCAGCAGGGCTCTCATTCCTGTCGCCATCTTCAGCAGCTTCAGCACTGTGTGTGTGTGTGTGTGAGGGGAGAAGATAGAAGTGTGGCCATTTAGGGGGGAAATCCCTCAGGTTCAATTACAGGCTTAATGGGAAACATTTAACTGTGCAAAGGTCAGTTCTTCATTTACAGGCAGTGTAACAAACACACACACACACACACACACACACACACACACACACACACACACACACAAATGTGGACACGGGAAAAGGGCCTTCAGAAAGGAGCTGCTATGCTACAACTTGCAGATATTTTAACACAACAATACCACATCAATGTTCATTTCCATTATTTAGGAATTGTGGGTGGATAGAAGTTGTGAGTGAGTGTGTGTGTGTGTGTGTGTGTGAATACCTCTTGCTATCCTCAGTACTCTCATGATCCTGATGATAGTGGGGTTGATGGGCAGCGCCGCACTGATCTCGATCTCCTCCAGCGTTATTCCCATCACCGACAGAAGCACAATGGCGAGGTCCAACTGGTTCCACCTGGAACAAGCGCACACACACACACACACACACACACACACACACACTCATGTGAAGGCATTGCACAACACAACACACACAAAGTGCATACAAACAAAAAATATACTGGCAAATTTAAAGAAGAAGAAGAATAAGAAAATACAGTTGTTCACTTATTGGCTCCGACATGACTAATGCTCTGAGGGATGCGTGAAAGGTTCTTGGCGTCACTGTACGATGACACATGCAGTAAATTATTTTACTTTTAACACATTACTACTCTTTTCTAAGAGTGATAACACAATTTCCCAGCTCCAAAAGCCCTTAATATATCAAAGTAAACGCTGGGATTCAGGACAGATGGCGGACAGATATTGACAGATCAGATGAATATGGCGGTAGATGAGAGTTTGAAGGCACCGTAGTCATTTTAACAGTTAAGGACATGTACTCTGAACTGACGTTACTGCATCATTTTTGCAAGCTTTCCCCTAGGTGCTCTTCCATGATTGTTTCAGTAAGTACTGCGCTCCTCGTTTGTCCTTTTCAAAGATATTCAATACTTATCTTTTCTAAAATCGGCGAGGCACACCGAGTGCTGAAACCCTTCGCCACGCCAACTCGTTTGTCAGAGCGCTTGCCGAACAAACGCCGCTGACAACAGAGCATCAACCGCTGGCCGTGACTCATTCCCGCCGTGCGCGATCACGTGTCCGCCCATTGCCGGAGCCTGTGGGCCTACTTTGTTTGCCGAGGGACTCATATTTAAGAAATAATGTCCCTTGAAATAATACTAAGAATACTTATTTCCCTTATTGTCCTTCTGGCCACACACACTTCGTTATACTGTGCACAATAACTTGCTCACCGGCGTCACTGACACTACGCAGGAGTGATACATTATTATTATTATTATTCATTGGTCCTCGTCCCTTTTTCGTTCTTCGATCAGTCCAGCGTTTCCTCATATATGTTATCAGGATCTTCTCCGTAACTCACCCCCCCCCCATCTGTCACCTTAGATATCTCTCTTTCTTACCAAACTAAAATAAGCCGACGGCATTAGACTGCCATCAGCTCCCGAATCTGCCGCTATACCTTTAATTAGTGACCGCCTATCCCCGAAGAGAATAAGACATGAGTTTTATCACCGTGCACATTGAGGTGAGGGACAACTCAATTAGTCCGGGCTCTCACTGAATGGATGTGGGAGCGAGCAGACCAGCGCCGAAGTGTGTTTCCCATGGAGGTCAAACAGAGGTGAGTACAGTAAGTGCAGAACTATCACATGCAGAGGATGGAGAGATTTGAGTTTTCTAACATGCACAGAGCTGTCGAGCTGTAGATCTCACAAAAAGGACACTTCTAGTCTAAAGTCTGTATTATCTGCAAATCAATTAGAGTTTATTCATAAGGGAGTGAAGGAAACCGTTTCTTACTGTGATAAAAATAGATTTCAGTAGTCTTGAACATATAAGATACTGATGTTTGACATGCGTGTTGTATGTGCCAGAATATGGTGAAATCAACATAATAACAGAAAGCCTCAGAGCAAGATCCCATATTTCCACATATTTCATAATACTCTATGATGTCAAGGTTGTTACTCCATATTCTATTTGTAATCATCAAAGCCATTTGTAAAGCCGCATCACTTTGAACTAAAAACACGTTTATTGAGCAGCTATTTATATTATACATTAATTCAAAAGATTATGAGCCTAGAGCCTCTCTTCAATGTTTAATTTTCATCCAATGTGTGATTAGGGAATGAGTAAATACACAAAAACATAGAGAGATATTTCAATTTTTGGTGACAATGGACCTCCAACTGTTTTCCATTGAGAGTTAAACATGTATGTGTGCAACACGCACAGAGAAAGGAAAACACACACACACACACACAGTCACGCCGTCACACACACACACGGTAGGAACACACACTGTACCTCTCCTTGAAGAAGCGACGAAAGCCAAAAGCGATGAGTTTGAGTACTGATTCCAGCACAAATGTAGAGGTGAAGAAATAGTTGCAGTACTTCAGGGCGAGATCCAGAGACTGGAAAGAGAGAGTAAAAAAGATATGTGTGTGTGTGTGTGTGTGTGTGTGTGTGTGTGTGTGTGTGTGCAGTAGGATTCAGTATCAGCAGCAGGAGGAAACTGTTGAATTGGAATTGTTCCCATTGTTTGCAGAGTAAAATCCAACATGCCGGGGGCGCAAAATGCCACATCTTCCATTCACAGCACAACAAACACACACACATTGCGTCCACAAACAGACATACATTTTTAAGCTAAAAACTATTTACAGAGTATTGAGACATTCCAAAGGCAGGGACGTTCTCATTGCATTAAACATCCAGTACAGCTTCCCGCTACTGCAGAGACCGAACATTCTCCTGCCTGGCTGCTCTCTCCTTTTTACGAAACAGAGCTTCAACCAAATACCTGAACAAATATTCATCTTCCACTCGGTCCGTCATCTTAAAAGGTCTAACGGGCATCCTGTCTCCAGCCTAATCACTTTTCCCGCACGAAAAAACAAGCCTTTTGGACCATTCGTCACACGTGAATGGACAGCGGATGCATCGAATCGTCATGGCCTGGAAACAGCTCCATGGTGGCTGACCAGTCTCTTTTAAACATGCCGCTATCTAGGGACAGTACAGCATTGGCAGCTGGAGTCGGTTGTAGGAAAATAGCCTCAAATCTATGAATAAAGTCCATACTGATATAGAGCTTGCCTGCTTTTGGGAACAAAATGAACATCTTTGCGGCTCTGCTTACACGAGGTTGATTGTAGTGCTCCAAGGACATGGTGATGACGTTGATGCAGATGATGAAGGTGATGATGAGGTCCAGGTAGTGGTTGGTGCACAGTGTGTGGATCATCAGGCGTACGTTGCCATAGCTGGCAAAGTAGGGTAGCTTCTGGGCTTCTGTTGGTCAAAGAAATACAGCGATGATTTAAACACATTCAATCTGTTTTTGTATGTGATGTGGCCCTTCAGAGGTATAAAATACTTCTCACAGTGACAGTGATCGTTCAAGCCTGGAGGGGAGTACAACCAGAACTTATATCAGGCCAAATCAAAAGAAAGTGCTCCTGGTCCTACTTGAATTGAACGAAGGAGCATTTTTCCAGGGAAGACCTGCTGCGCGCTGAGCGCTTAGAAGCTGAACATTGAAGTGCTTCGATCAATCTGAAATCACTATCAAGCAAATTGCAGAGGAAATTAGCAGCGATGACACTTGCTGTTTGTGAGTTGTTATTATCTGTCTGTCTCCATTCTCATCTCTCCTTCTCTCTCACGTTTCTCATCGGCCTCGATCAAATGCTAATGCTAATAGCATGCAGGGATTATTGTGATGTGTAATAGTAACAACAAGGGTAAAGTAGGTTATTCACGCCCTTGTTTCAGATAGCGCCCTGTTGTTTTTAGCATTACATCTGCCGGTTTATTAGTCATTTTACTATATTTTTTTCCTCTTCGCTCCTCCTCTCTCCTCGTTCCCCTCCCTTACTTCTCCTCTTCTTTTCCATGCGCCGCTGGCGCTTCTCCTCGCGCCTCTTGGCCTCCTCCACCTCTTGGTGCTGGCGGCACTTGTGGAAGTTCTCCACCACCACGCCGACGAACATGTTGAGGACAAAGAAGCTGACGATGAGGAGGAAGGAGATGAAGTACAGCAGCATCCACGGATTGTTGTTGGTCACCGGCTGTCGGTTGACGTGGCGCGCGAAGGAGGGTCAGAAACAAAGCAGAGTTAACGTTTTTTTTTTGCCACATTAAAGATCGTGCCTGAAGTTCGCTGCTGTTCGGCTGATTGGCGGGTACCTGCTGGTCCACAGACACGGCATCCAGGCCGTGGTACATAATGTTTACCCAGCCGTCCTTGGAGGCGAGAACAAACAGGGACATCAGAGCCTGGACAACAGGAAGGAAAACTGATAAAGACTTTGTCCTGTTACACATTCCCAAAACATGACACACACGCAGCACTGACCTGTCCCAGGTTGTCAAAGTTGTACTTATGGTGGACCCACTTGTAGTTTGCTTGCAGACAGTCAGACTTGTTGGTGATGTTTTTGACGTCAAGGCCGAAGCAGTAGAAGAATTTGCCTTTAAACAACTGTCAGGAGAAGAAGAGACCCCGCTTTTGATGACGTCTAGCGACTTATATGAAGGAGAGAAAAAGGCCTTCGCAGGCTCCTCTGATGAGATGAAAATATGCTTTTAAGTGAAATAATGAGCTGGTCAAAGATCCCATCGGCCGAACATTTTTTGAAGTGATGCAAGAAGTAGGAATACAATGAGATTCACTTTAACTTTAACGCTATGTAGAGCGAACGGCAGGGAGATGATCACATTTATACAAAAATCATATTAATGGGGAGGAAACCAAAGGACACACAATACAGTGTTTTAACGTTTTAATGCGCGGCAGGTGAAGCTCTTTTCCCTACCTGCACCCCAAGGATGCCGAAGATGATGAAGAATGCACAACAGATGAGAACAATGTTGCCGATGGGTTTGAGGGAGGTTATGAGGGTCTCCACCACCAGCTTCAGACCTGGAGCTCTGCTAATCACCCTGGAGAGCAGACGGGAAGAAACAAATGTATTCCACACTTTAAAGGTTTTGTCCGCTCATCAGACCGATAATAACTTTGGATAAAACTCATGACATCGTCCACACCTGAGGGGACGCAGTGTCCTGAGCAGCCGCAGTACTCGTAGAACACCCAGGATCTTGGCTCCTCCCGCCATGGACACGACAATGTCGATCAGAGACACAAAGACCAGGAAGCCGTCCAGAATGTTCCAGCTGCTGCGCAGGTATGCCTGTTCACCCACGTACAGACCCATGGAAACCACCTGGAGAGAGACAAGCAGCTCATCACAGGGCGTCTGCTTCTCGGGCCGCCTCTGTAAAATAATCATTCATCACAACAACAACAAAAACTTCAAAAACAAAACATGCAGCCATGAAAATGGAGTGTCATATCCGTTGGTGGCGGTTGACTTTGCTGTGAAAGCGTTTGACATTATCAGGGTCCTCAGTGACTCGGCGTCGAGGGAGGGATGTCAAACAGCCATTGTGATACAAATGTAGACAGTGTGAGCGTTGACAATCTGCAACTGACATTTGAAGCGGTTTGCCGAGTGTCCGGTGAAGCTTCAGAGGGACGACGGGGGTCAGCGTGCAAACAGATGGAGGCGCCGGGCAAACATCTTACTGTAGGACTGAATACCGAAATATGAACGGCATGTACAAAACGTGAATGTATCGAGATCACGATTTTCAGTGTTTTCATGAAATCCCCCAAAAATTGCATTGCTTCGTCACAACGCTACAACCGTGGAAACGATGTTTTAAGAGGGGGGCGCGACTCAATCACGCGGCGCTTTTTTATGTGGCCGCATGTGGTAAACAGAGCCGGACTCATGGAGTCCTACGGAGAGATTAATGCCACACAAACAACCAACCGACACACGTTATGGAGATACGCGAGACCCAGACAGCCTCAGGCTCGGAGGGAGGCATGTGCGGCGCGGCCAGAGGGCTGACAGGCCCGCGGCTCCTTGGCGGCCTGTGATTGGTTAATAATTGATGGCGAGAGTGCATAATTGATAGCCCACTTGTGCCAAAGTATTTTGCAGAGAATACAGACGACAGATGCAATGGACGGGAGGGGAAATAAGAGAAGGGAGAAAGGTGGGGAGTCGGGGGGGAAAAAAATCACCGACTGACGAGAACGAAGAGACCCGAAGGAAGAGGAGACACGCGTAAAAAAAAATAAAAAAATAGAAGCAGTTAACATCGGCGAGGACGAGAAGAAAGAGGAGAGAGTGTGTGTGTGGGGGAGTGCTGGAGACGGACTGCGTCCAAAAAAGAAGACTAGCGACTAATTAATGACATGGCTTAATTGCTCTATTCTCCAAAAGAACATGGGAATTGCCGAGAAAGAAACGTAAAGGGAGGGGAGGAGCTGTGCGAGCACTGAAGCAAAGACAATTCATCAAGAGAGAGAGAACCAGGGAGACGCGAGAGGAGGATAGGACATCTGCACACAAACTACACACACTCATAAAACGTTACCTTGAGTGTCATCTCGCTCACAAAGATGGCAGTAAAGATGTAGTTGGAGATGGTGAGAAAGACTCTTTCCTGTAACAAACCCGGGGAGGGGACGGAATAGACAAGTCAATAAGGGTTCGTCAGATCCTGTCCAACTGCACCTTTATGATAATCAAATTGCATTGTATTTGGAGAATGAACGCGAAGGAGCCTCAGTGTAACTCACCAAGCTGCCCTGTAGGATCTTGGGCCGCTCCAGAGCTACTGTAATGCAGTTGGAGAAGATGAAGGCCAACACCACATAGTCAAACAGCTTATGGGCGATGATGGACTGGCATATCTGTCGGAATCTGGTGTGACAGGGGAGCAGAGGACAAGAGATAAGGATGAATAGAGGAAGGTAGGAAGCAGGAGGCTCGGGGGGTGCAAGAGAGTACAGGGCGTAAATATCTTGATTCAGCAGCTGGTTACAAAATTAAACATCCTCCTTGCAGTGTTGATTGGAAACGGATATAAGAAACAGAATGAATCCAACAGGAGAGGGATTTTTATTTTGGAACAAGCACGGGGACATTTGAATGCCTTTTATTAAAACTGAACTGGTTCCCATTCAAACTACAGATTGCAGGACAGAATTACTACTAATTAATGTAGACTTGAATTGTATTAAATTCCCCCCCGAGGCGTGTTTCTTCTTCTCCAACAGGAGGGAAGAGGATAGAAAATATCAACAAAGCGGCAAACGATAAATGTAAATCCTTGATATGGTTTTGCAGGGACGCGTCCCGCGTCCCCGCCGTCTGTGGCTCTCGGGGTCTTTGGCAACAGCTCTTATTTTGTAGCAACACAATTTTCGATGCACTGCATTCAACAGATATGAACTGAAGGTGAAAGCGGTGCGACGGGTAACAACGACTCACTTGTTCTGCGGGGAGAACAGGAAGACAGACCAGTCCTCTCTGCTCTCACACCACTCCGGTTTGTACGCTTCTAACATCTTCTGGATGCGGAAGCACAAGCTCTGCAACACACACACACACACACACACACACACACACACACACACACACACACACACATCATGACAGGCTCACACACCCCAGCAGAGGCCATACAGCATGCACAGTATAATTGGGCATCAAACCGCTTTCCGAATATTTAAATTATTTACAAAACCAATACACTTCTGCAGCAAAAACCTGGAGCATCCTCCAACATTCCCATCTGAATAGCTATCTGCTGCCTAAATAGTCCTTTCTAATTAACCCTCTTTCTCTCAAACATAGGCTTGTTTACGAGGAAAACAAAGGGAAACTCCCACGAGGCCCAGGTGATGGGAGTGCAGGCTTTAAACAAACGACTTGGAAATCCTGCACAAGAGAGCAGGAGATTACTGCATGTTTAACACCCTTTCCTTTAACAACTAAAGCTAAAGCTTCGGTCATTGGGAATCACAAGATCAGATGGTGTTTTTTTCTTTTTCTTTTTTAAAGACGCCGCTCCATCTCAGGGATAATTATGTGAGTCTGTGTAATTGGTGTATTATAGGAAACTCGTATGATTGCTCCACTTACTCACCGGGCCTTTTTCCTGCCGCTATTACCGCTTAATTCCCTCCCACACCCATTATAGCGGTAACTCACGTATTCAATGTCGTCGTCCAGGTCCTCCCGGTCCTTGCTGCGCGTGTTGACCTGGGGGAAGACGTCGGCCATCAGCTGGCTGTGGGGGTTCGGCCCTCCGGACGTCTCAGTGTGGTGTCTGGGAGGGAGCTGGAGATGCTGGGACAGAGGGGTCTTCCCGTTACAGTCTTGGTGTACCCCGCCGTAGACGCCCAGGCCGTCACCGCCGCCTAAAACCATCGCCCCGGAGAAGCTCTTCTTCCTGTGGTGAGCGTGGAACGCCGTGGAGGGCGGCGGCGGCGGCGGCGGGAGGTGTGGGGGCGGCGGAGGGTGCGGGGGCCCTGGGACCTGCAGCAGGTGGGGCAGCTCCAGGGACAGAGCTCTGCGGTCCCTCCGGGGTACAAAGTAGCCCGGCCGCACAGGATGAGGGAGGTGTAGAGAGTGCGGAGCGGCGGCCGGAGGAGACAGGAGGGACTCCTCCTCGTCCTGGTGGACGTGGTGGAAGTGGCGGTGCGGCGACGAAGAGGCGCGGGGACCCCGGATACGCAGGCTTCCTCCGACTACTCCGCCGAGACCCCCCAGGCCGTAGCCATAGAAGGGCCTGGCGGAGGTGGGAGTGAATGCCGGACTGGCGGAGGGAGACGAGGAGGCGAAAGGCCGGCATCCTCCCAGGCTGTTCCAGCTGGAACGCCGGGCCCACAGGGCCTGAGGCTGGGTGGGGAGCGGGCGCCCCCAGTTGTGATAACCCCGAGCTGGATACTGGGAAAGAGGGGGAGAAGTCTGTCTCGTGCCCTTTACTGTAATTCTGAGGCCCAGCCTGCCTAGAATGCCTCTGGCGGTCTGGATTACAATGAAACTGAACCGATCCAAAGGCTGTATAATGCTTTGCTGCAGCAAACGGTTGTCCTCGTCAAAGGCGTTACCGATCAAATTACTTCTATTGTTAAAAAAAAGCATAATCTCAGTCCTCTCCACTTACCATCACCCTCTGCTCCAAGTTGGCCCGGCCCAGAGAAATGACACTGTTCTTCCTGGAGCCGAGGGCAAAGGTCAACCTCTCTCCTGGAAACAGACCGTGCGGCAGCGCGGACAAGTCCAGGTGTCCATTTGGGGTGAGAGTAGAGATCTTTGGGTCTGAGAGAGAAGAAGGAGGAAAGGGTAAAGGGGTGATAAAAGGAGGGAGGAGGAGAGATAATATGGATGAAGGGCAAAACAAGCCCTTCCCTCTTGGTCCCATGAAAACATATCTTGGCACACGGCATCAAATTGAAACATAAAAGTCCTAAACCAATGTTATGATCTGCTCAGAGAGGCAGAGGAAGGTTTAATTTACACTAAATCACCGTGGAGGAGACAGAGAGGAGCTCGTAATGACTAAAGAGAGGAATACCTGCCAGTGGTTTGTCAGACCACCGTCTTTTAAGCGGAATACGAGTCTCCAGGAGCGATCAACTTTTAAGCTGACATGAAAGGCTCAGTCAGACATCATTAGAGGGAAAATGCTTTTCTGGAATTATTTTAACAGCTCACGTCATTTCAGAGGGGAAAAAACGAAATCAAACAAAACAATAAAGCTGCAACATGCATTTCAATACCTGAGAGATGTAGAGAGTCTTTCTGCTTGTCGCTCTCCTCAAAATTACAGGAAGACCTGTCATCGTCCGAGTAGGAGCGGTTTGCATCACCCTTCATTGGCGGAGGAAACGGTGACGGAGAAAGAGAGGCGGGGGGGGGGAGAAGGAGAGGGATGCAGGGGACGCAGCAACAACGAGACAGACAAGGAAGAGTGAGGAGCACAGAGAGGTTGTGAGTGTGGACATAATTAGCAATCACAAAGTCATTTAAATAGTCACCGCCGATCCTTCGTCCTCTCCTAATCACCAGCCCGTCAAAGAGGCAATTTTCTCTTCAGCCCGGCTGGTTTATTTTCACTCATATCAACACAAATCCAGCTCTACAACACCCACGTTCAATTTGTACCCTTCTTATTCCTGATTCATACATGTATGCGTGTTTTACAACATCTCACAGTTATCCGACCCGTTGTTTATGCGACTATAAAGCAGGGAATCAACGTCTCTGTGTCACTGGTCCACCTAAAACGTGCGTCGCTTGTGCGTGTGCTGCTGATGTCGAGCATAAATATTTGCTCTACTTTACCAAAGTGCTGTAATTATGTAATAACCACAAAAGTGACGTTCAAGAAAGATTGTTTCAATGAGCAGGATTTCCAGATGTCTACAAACAGCGCGGGCCTTTGTTTGCAGCGTGCCGCACTGGTACCTTTGGCATGTGACACACGGAATTAGGACGTCTCACCTCAGCCTGGAAACCCTCGACCAGGATGGCGACCAGTAAATTGAAGAGCACGTAGTTTCCAAATGTCATGAGAGCTACAAAGTAGAGAGCGGCGCAGGGCGAGGTGGAGGCCATCCCGTTGTACAGCACCATGTTCCAGTCCTCCTGAGTCAGGATCTGCACAAAATATTAGGATCTGAATAAAAAATAATGTGCAGTGCATACACACTCAAATGTATATAGAGCGACAAATAAGCAGCTTTTTTCGACAGCACGCTTTCGTTGTGGAAGTGTGTGTGTGTGTTTAACCTGAAAGACGGTGACGATGGCCCACAGCAGAGAGTCAAAGTTCTTCCTGTCCGGTACCGTGTCTCCTGCCTCGGTCTTCAGACTGAACTTACAGCCAAAGATGTGCATCCCCAGAATGCTGCAACACAAGAAGTGAAGTGTCCAAGAATCCACGTGCTGCCATAGACACGTATTAGTATGTCATGGGCACAATCATTTATCACCCCCAATGCTTTTCTTTCATTCACTATGTGCCTCCCTCGTGCTGCTTTAACCTGCGCCCGTCTGCTCGCCACAGGACCGTAAAACCCGAGACAACGCATTGATTGCTGCTTCCTTCAGGGGCTCATGAGAGGACTTAAAAGCTTATGTCTTTGCTGAGCAGTACTTTACTTTAACTGTTCACTCAAAGCTGCGCTGCCCAGTGCTACTTGCTCAGTGCAAGAATGAATACACACAAACACACACAAACACACACACACATACACGTTAAGATACAAGCGGTGCGCTGCTGTGGAACTCATATCTTTCAAAGGCCAGTGCGCTCGCCACAATTCTGATAAATTGTTTCAAATAACAACCAGCCTGAAGGTCCAGAAGTGGAATTGGGGGGAAAAAGGAGTAAAGTGATGTGTTTGTGGGTGTGTGTGTGCGGGAGGGTTAGAAAATGAGGATTCAGGTGAATGATTATGTTTTGGTTTTCTTAATTTAGGCACAATGTAAATAGAGAATAGGACAACTCTCCCCCTCTGTTACCTGGATTTCACAGCGGAGTGATTGTCTTAAGCTGATGGTACCCTGCTGACCACCTTTGTAGTCAAAACTAAAGTTATTCATAATTCATTTAAATCAATGGCATTGTTAGAATTTGAGCCGACAGCTTATTAGTTATGTTTTTAGAATCCTTCTTTTGCCTGAGGCCCAGGTGTCTGTTTAATGGAAATTGAAGAATTACATTGTCTTCAAATGTCCAACTTAAGGTGCTCATTGCTTTCATGGCGCAAGAACTCCTTGAGTAGGAGGAAGGTCAAAGACAAAATCCTCGATACAGCTACAAACCAGGAGTAATTCCAATAATAGTGAATTAATCCTATTATCCTTTGTCCTCTGGCTATGTCTGCCTCCATCGGCGATTATACTTTACTTAATCTGCTGATATTCCATGCTTATTATTTTTGCACAGTGCACATACAGGAAACACACACACACACACACACTTCACAAGTCACTTCCATCTCAGAGTCTCATAGATCTCGTATTCCACAGAAACACATGGCCCCTGTGCCCCTCTGTTACCTGAAGATGAAGATGAAGAGCATAAGCAGCATGCAGAAAGTGGCCACGTTGTCCATAGTCTTCATCAGCACAACCAGCTGCCGCCTCAGCGCAGGCATGAACCTCACCAGCTTAATGACCCTCAGCAGCCTGAAGGTCCTCAGCACTGACAGACCGCCGTCTGCCTGACCGATGATCTCACACACGCTGTACGTGTTAAGTGTGTGTGTGTGTGTGTGATTTAAACAGAGAGAGAGGGGACAAAGTTGGAAGACAAGATGTTACGAAAAGAGTATTTTATAATGGAAAAGAGAAGATAAAGGAATGAGCTGTGCAGTAATACTGAATAAAAGACGATGAGATGCAGACAGTTGTATATTCCATATTGTTTTGATGCATTTTACACATTTTATTTGCACACATTTCATATATTTCAAACACAACAACAACAAATTCCAGTAGCATGATTTAAATACGTGAATTTAAGCGAAAGAGTATCTTTCAACCTCTAAATGGCAGCGCACTCCACCTGCCGACAACCTCAAACTCAACTATCGGCACAATGATTTTGTATGCAGACCTGATGATGACAATGATGCCGTCAAAGATGTTGTACGGGTTCCTCAGGTACTCAAAGAAGCCAAACGCAGTCAGCTTGAGGATCATCTCCAGGGTGAACATGCTGGTGAAAACTATGTTGCAGATCTCCAGGACATTGGTCAGCTCCTCTGGCTGGGGGGACGGGTCACCGAAAAAGGGGGAGGAAAAGAGTAGTTAAGACACAATATAAGAGGGGTTTGAGATGCAAGCGTTCAAGCTTAACAACAGGGCGGTGATATCCACGCCGAGGCAGGTAGAGACACGACGCTAAAAGCACAGCGCGGATATTAAACCACCGCTTCGCAATTACCGCTGCAGCAGCGACGGAAAACAATCGCCAACGCATCACGTTTCTCCGCCTGTGTTGAGAAAGACTGTCACTCAAACCGTCACTTTCAAAGAAAATTCTCTCTCTGGAATTAACGCGCACACCTCGTCTCAGATGGGCGACACCGACGCAGAGGAAGGGTGGAGACTGAAGAACAGGCAAACAAATTGTGTTTTTCCTGCTCATGTAAAATTAGAACGGACATTAGAAACAAAACGAAAACAGAACAGCGAGGATGGGAAGGGAACGTGTATCGTGGAGCCTTAAACTGGCTGAATGGGGCAGCATGCTATCTGGAATTGGCAAAGGAGAAACACACAAAAGAAACAAAGACAAGCTCCAGTCAATCCCAGATTTATTTCCATTTGTACGTGTATAGTGTATCGTGTGTGTGTGTGTGTGTGCACAAGCAGACTTGCTTGGCGAAGCTACACTGTGTGTGTGAGTGTGTGTTATGCATGATACAGATCAGATGCCCTCTCTGATACCTCCTGTGAAATTCAGTTACAAAGCCGGGGGGGAGAAACAGCCAGCTTCGCCCTGCCAAAGTTAGCGAACCCTGTGAGAGGAAAACTAATCCGCTCCGTCTCCCGATCCATCTCCATCGCCCCAAGTTCTCTGTCCCCTTTTTTCTCTCGCTCGCTCTCATTATCAAGCAGTCACATCGCTGCCCAATCAATATCCGACTGTCGATCAAGAGGAGGGAGAACCCGGCTGCACGCGAGCGAGGGGATCGTCCACGGTTAGACGACGAGACAGAGGACAGGGAAACGTTTGCAAAACGGCCCGACGCGTTGGAGATTATTGAGAGCTCGGTTGCAGTCGCCGGACGCCGAGGCGGTTAGTGGGCCGCAGGTTTAAACGATGACGTCACTCACCACTTCCAAACAAAGCGCACGTCATCGAACAACACGTGGAACAGAAAATGAAGGCTGTGTTGTATGAGAAGAAAACGTGTTTCATTTGTCAGGAGTCATCTTCCGCTTTGGCCAAAGCCCCCTCACCAGCCGGAAGGACAAACACAGGATTTAATATTTATTGCTATTGACAGAAGCATCACAGCCGTTGACACTACGGTTTGAATCAGACAAAATGCCATCATTCCTCTGCTTTTCTCCTTCTTGACCCGTCACCCATCATCTCCTAACCGCAATGCTTTTCCTGTCCTCGTACCTGCGTTCTCCAAAGTAAATGTTTCCATAACGTTCCATCTTGGGAATAATATTTGTATCCTCCCACAGAAACGACCTCTCCCTCTTCCTCTTCAGTCAGTGTGTCAATGTAGACGAATATGAATTCATGAGCTACAACTTCTGAGCCTGAATTCCAATGTGCTCATTTCTTTCCCGCCGAGAGGCGTCACACACGTAACACGAATAGCAGCTTCTCTTTAAATGGCTAACTGGCACAACAACAACAACATTTCATGACTCAATGTGGGAAAATGAAATGTAAACATGGAATTAAAGGGCTCTGACATTGAAAGATCAGCAACGAAAATTGCAAGGCCGCACCCGCACAGAGCCAAACCCCTTTTGATTTGGAACACTTGACCTTTGGGCTCAGCGGGGTGCGGTGCGAGCGAGGCAGCCCTGCGGTTGGATCTTGAGGAGAAGCACATCAGCTCCAGTTTCCCCTTTCAGAACACGATTGCGGGACGGGAGACTTTTTTTTACCCCCAAGCGAAAAGTACACTGTCATCGCTGCTCGCGTGTCCGCCTGTGGAAAACGCGGAGGGAGAGACGGACGGACGAAGGGTCCGTGCGCATGCGTGTGACCACACGGGGGATTGAGCTGAAAACTGCTGTGTAACAGGAGTCTGCTTCGTTCTTCCCGTCTCCTCCTCCTCCTCCTTTCCCCCCTCCCCGCAACACTCGTTTTATTTTTAGAGACTTCAGAGATGAGAGAAAGCAACTACTCTGTGCGCTGTCAAAGAGTGCGTGGGTGGGAGAAAGAGAAAAGAGAAAAGTGGGGAAACAGAGGTTGAAACTCAGGGAGGCAAAAAGAGAGTCAGGCAGTAGAGACACTCGGTGTGAGGAGGGAAGGACGCGAGGGAGGGAGGCAGCAAGGCGCAAAGGAGCGAGCGGGGAAAGGAGTGCAAAGGAAAAGGTTCACAGGGGGGAGAAAAAGGAGAGAATAACGGCAGAGAAGTGGAAGTAAAATTAGCACGGGAGGGAGCAGACAGTTGAGAGGGAGAAATAAAGGAAAAAAGAAGCTCTTTTATGTAACAGCTTGTGCATGTACCTGCATGTACTTTTTTCTCTTGTGTGTGCACACGCAAAAGGCCGTGTATTCATGTGTGCACATACTCCCGTGCGTGCATGTGTGCATGTTGGCAAGCTTCCCCTTTTCCTCGCGCTCTGACACCTGTCTCGTCTGTCTCCGAGGAGGCCGGCCCGCCGTTGTCTCTCCTGCCGCTGGGCTAAACGTTTACACCTCTGCCGGGACGCGGCACGGCAGCGATGCGCTGCTCCCACGCGCGTCACCCCTCAAGGTCATCCGCTGTTATCACATTTCTAGTAGCGGCGCTCCATCAGCATCGATGGTGATGCTGAGGTCACGGTGTATCAATCCAAAGGATTAAAGGCGATGAAAGCGAGAAGTACACTTGTATTCATCAATATCCAAACCATTCAGTGACTCCAGTCACTTCACAGGCGCAGCATAAACCTCTCTGGCAGTAGTTTAAAGAGGAAAAGGCCTCTCTTCAGTTTGGTGAACAGCACAGAGTCAGCAACAATGTTCATGTGGTTGAATAAACTTCATCATCTTACCTGGTTATGATGCTCGATGCCCATACTGATGGTGTTGATGAGGATAGCGATCATAATGCCCCTGCTGAAGTACTTGCTCTCTACAATGCCCCAAAGTTTCCTCCTCATGTCATTCCAAATGTCTTTACAATGTCCAAAGCATGTCCTCTTCCTCTTCTTCTCCCCATCTCCCCTCTCCTCGAGGTGGTTCTCGTCCTTGCTCGTCTCTTTCACTGCTTCCTCCTCATGTTCCTCCCCGCTGGCGGAGTCTCCCACCTCCCTCGCCCCCTCTTGCAGTGATAATGCACATATGGGGCAGTCCTCGGGATTCTGAGGGACGGCCAGAGTGAGGGAGTTAGCGAGTGTCTGAGAGCCGTTGTCTTGCTTGCTCTGGTGCGGACATTGGGGCGCTAGACGGACGGGAAATAAAAATGAAATGAGAGGCTTTCATGTACAATTCAGAATTCCTTTGACGTACAGGATGCGAGCATTTGCAAGAGTAGCAATCACGCTGTGTCACGTTTCATTCAACGCACCACACATTACGCGCATCCATCATCACACAGGTCAGGTTGTCACATTGATTCATCAAGTTACTGAACTCAAAACAGTAAGTATGAAAATGTAAAAACGTCGCTCACGTCCTCCTACTCACTTTTAGGGTGCCGGGAATGATGCCGCTCTCCGTTCACGTTCCCTCCCCCCCTCCTGTTACCCCGGCCTCCTCCAGCCGGCGGGGGCTTGCCCCTCAGCGTGTAGTAGAGGGCTGCCGATCTCCTCTTGGCCTTGCGGAGGACGTGGCAGACCAGCTGGAAGATCTCTTCGTAGCAATCCCCGGGCTCGGCCATGCTGGCCAGGGTGGAGGACGACAGGCACTGAGCCCTTTGCTCCTGCATCAGCTGGTGCTCCCGCTGTTTGGTCTCTGAGAACTGGGTGGCGATAACCACCAGGCACAGGTTGATCATGAAGAATGAGCCGATCTGGGTGGAAGTGGAGCAAGGGGCAGAAAGTTACAGGCCCGTTAATGGAGGCGGGACTCGAGTCGTACACGAGGTGTGAAGTGAGTGCAAACGTGGAAAATCACAGCAGCTTCGACCAAGTCTGAAGTAAGTGTACCAATCAAGATTACAAGAGGCCACGCTGACTAAAACAATAGAAACCAGTCCAGCTAGAGCGGATAATGCTTATTTAAGAAAAACAATTGTGATTTCACATTGGTGAATACAGACTTCAAGCTCTAACCTTCCAACCTGTTTGCCAATCCACCTGTAGATACGACAGGAGACATCTCACAGGGTCTCTGAGGCTTAAAACTCCACTGAACCAAGGCTAATTAGAGCGGACTGACAGAGCCAAAGCATGCCCAGTGCACAGTTCATCTTTCCTTCTTTCGTCACTGACTCGAGACGTGAGGGTTTGAGGGACAAACCCTCACGTTCCCTCAAATCCAGGCCTCTGGTTGCGTATGGGACGGCTTGTCGCAGAGCCTCAAAGCATGCAGAGGTGTAAATATCCCGACGCAATGACCGTCCACCTATAGATCGGAAATGATCAAAGGGGCAGGGCGAGGGGAAGGAGAGACAGTAGAGCCTCGGAGGAATAGAAAAAGAAGCGCCTGCTGCGATATTTGGGGGGACACATAGGAGGGCGATGGAGAGGGAGGAGAGATGCCCATCTGTGTCCTGTGGGTCACAGCAGGTCGGCAGGTGTGTCGGCCTTTGATTTCCCTCCAGGCTCGCTTCTCTGTGTGTGTGTGTGTCCGCAGTATTCTGTGACTCTGATTAGTAGACAGCTTCGCGCATAATCACGGAGGACACGCCAATATCACACATTCAGATGATCACTGCATTATGCATGCATGCAAACACGCGCACACGCACACACACATGCACCCGTGCTCAGTCACGCAGGTACGTCCTCCCTCACACAGTGAAAAGCATGTGTGATCACACACTGGCATGCGCAAATTGAGAAGGCAGGCTTATTTCCCACACAGCAGCCCGTCACATACGTATTCTCCCTTTCAATCGCACACAAACACCTTCCTAATAACTACCCTCACTTTAATCCATTTACTCACACTATCAATGTGACAACAATAAAGACTCTGGGGTGGCGCGCTTGAAAGTACATCGAGTGTCGAGCAGATAGAGTTGAGACTATGTTTGGCACCGTGGAGGTCAACCTGAGGTTTGTATCTGGGAGCAAAAGCTTATAGGATCAACTGACAAGCTCAGAGCATCGGGTGCTGTCACTGCGTAAAGACAAAACACACACACAGGAAGAAACAGGATCCCTGCAGAGCAAAGAATGAGTCGGTCAAGGTGACCCTCCATGCGTGAATAACACCTTTGGGACTCATGGGATTGCCTGATTGTCAACGTCTCGACGTGTCAGCAGCGCTTCCTCGGCATCCCTCAGAACCTTTGAGTACGAGCCTCCAAACAGACGGGAGCCTCGCAATGAAGCTCAAAGAGGAGCGGCACATTTACGTCAATCAATCACGCAGCGCAAAAGGCAGCGGCGTGTTTGCTTGGTTGTCAGCGGCGGAGCTCTGCACGTTGAACCTCTTTGGTCGGCCGTCGCAGCCTCAATGGAACAAACACAAAGTTCTGACTGCGTATCAAGGCGTCGGCAGCCGTTCACTTCAATTCTTACGTGTTCCAGATATCGCTAAGAGTGAAGAACGGGGCCTAACAATCAACAGGCCATGAGACCGTGAGACTGTGGTCAACGTGGCCACATAAACCGGGCAAAAGCGATTAGACCGCGACTCCGTGTCGACTCGCTCTGGCTGCCAAAAGGTGTTCGCACCGGGAACGACAACCCTCAGGTCGGACGTGACAAAGAGGGGAGGCAATTTACAGCTGCAGTCCTGATGCCAACAACCCCCCCCCACACCCCCCCCCCCCCTCTTCCCAGCCTAATAAGCTCTTAGCTGTGGTGTCGGATGAGTTTTGCACTCATTTAAGTGTGCTTGATTTATTTCTAGTGGGGAAACTCTTCAGCGAGCTGGTGACTGATTAGTGCGTTCACTTACTCTCACTTCTCCAGTAACATTTTGCAGCTCTCCTCTCACCTCATTTCCAGTGATCTCACTTTCAAACTTTACAAAAGCCTGAATGTCTGTTACTTATTGTGTAAAGCTGCTGGTGTGAAACCTCCGGGACCTTTATCGTACGTCTGATGCAACACATTGACTGAATACTGAGTTTCTGCAGACAGCCAATGGCAAGTGAATGCAGAATTCAAGAGCTATTATTATGCCGCCATCTGTCATGGGACACAACAAGCTAGCGCACTCATATGCACACATTGTGTTTTCTGTTGTCTATTAACACTTCTTTTCACTTCCAATGCCAGAGTCGACAGAGTCGACATATATTGAAAAGGTTAAACAGGTTTTTATCCTCTGTGTCTAACCGTTGAGCATCATTATTAGTTTAATTAATATTAAATCAGGCTCAACACGCTGTGCTCTGGATGTTTCGGCTCACTAACTAGAATGTGGTAATGAATTGTACTTACAATGATGAGTAAAATGAAGTAGATGAAGTTGTAAAAGGAGTGCGCATCCATCACGTAATACATGATCTCCACCCAGCCCTCCAGAGTGATCACCTGCATCAGGGGGAAAGATTATTTCCTGTGTTATGAAATAAACGTTCACATGTTAGCGCGTCGGGGCTGAACAGCATCGCAAAACCGAACGCTGAATTGATGCTTAAGTGAATCAAATGTAATTTATTCTTTTGAGAATTAGATGACAGTGCTTCAAAAGGCCAAAAAATATTGTATTATTCGATTGAAATAGCGTGAACATTTTTAATAAGCACGGTTGTTCAAATCTTACCTGATAGTAACATTAGAATCCCTTACAAAGAAAAAAATAATCCCATTGGTCGTATTACAAGATTCAAGAAGACTTCAAACTCTTACGGAACATACCTGAAAAATGACAATCCAGGCGTACACGATGTTATCAAAGTTGATGGCGCCTTTGTGGGGGTTTGTGCTTCCTGTGTGGCACCGCGTGTAGTACTGGTTCCAGTTGATGCACAGACCCACCGCCTCCCCAACGCCGCTGCCGTTGGCCAGCGGCTCAGGACTCAAGCCCAGAGCCTGTCTGTGCAGCGCGTCCTCCCTGTCCAGGCAGCACGTGCGTCCTCCTTCGCGCCTCGCCGGCACGTCGCCGCACGACATGATTCCGTTGTCGGACGCCAGGGAGCAGATGAAGGGACGCTCGTCGTTCTCGTCCGCCTGGTAGTACGGGGCGGGCAGGGTCATGCCTGAGGAGCTGGGGGCAAGACAATGGGGAGGAGTCATGGAATCTAACCTGTACACGCAATGTAGCACGCGGCGTCTTTGCATTTCGTGAGGAGTTGGACTTATGAATTAATGGAGCTGTAAAAGTTACAATATCTCCCTCTGAGAGACAAACCCGAGCCAGCAGTGAACTACAGAACACGGCCTGCAGCTGGTGCAGAAAACCCAAGGATGGCCGACAGGGACGGTAAACAGGGTCATGATGTTGAGGAAAACGAGCGCCTGGAGGAGACGGCAGCACCTAAGCACCCCCCCTCCGTTACATTACACGCCTCGCTCAGCCTGGAAGAGAGAACATTTCCGATTGCCGCTGTAAATACGCAACCTAAAGTTTCACAGCAACACAGAGTTTGTTGTTCAGATTTGATCAACTACTTGATTAAACTTTGTTATTCAGGGAACCGGAGGATTTGAATCCGTATTTCGTATTGCCTCCCTGCAGTTGACTTTCCCATCTGTGGCGCCCCACAGCAGCTAATGTCTCCTTTTCTGTCTTTGTTTTGTTTTACTCCTGGGTGCAAATGATACATCTGCTCTGTAAAACCCAGAGGAGCCGTGACGCCAGAGTTACAAACATCCATCAACGCATTAAAAAGATGGATTTTTGTACCATTTAACGTGTATTAAACCCTCCGTCTTTGCTCTCTCAGAACTACTCCCAACACAAAGAACTGCACCCTTTTCCTTTTTCCGTTCTAGCAAATACAAAATGTGCATTAATGCAGGATGTTCAACGCTCCCTCGAAATTGGGAAAGAAATAGAATTTGAAAGAGCGACAGCTCTGCTGCTCTGATTAACCTGCTGAACACAAGGACCTCCTTTGACTGGGACTGTAATGGCTGCAGATAATCACATCACTCTCTCACATGAAATTGGTTCACAAGTGAAGGATTTTAATGAGCACCACGAGGACACCGGACGGCGGCCCGGACAAGAATCTTCCGACGGGATCATAATCCCGTCCCGGTGTTCTCTCTACGCGTTTGTGGGAAATGCTGATTTAGAATCCGCTGAACAATCAGGTACAGGCCAAACGAAAAAAAAAACATCAATGAAATTCACTGAGCCAACTCGCCAACTGACGAGCACATCACCGGCGATGTTGAGCTCCAGCGAGAGAGTGTTAAACGACGTAAACTGAGTCATGTGAAAAACCGCGTGTGTGTCTTATAAATCAGAAATCAGCAGAAAAAGCGATTACACCCTCTTGCATTGACACGCGTATTACACACATGCACTCACCGTCCATCGACTCATTCAATGCCGTTACGCGCCCCTCGCGACCGAGTGATTCCCGCTAAACTTAATGACACAAACTGATTGCCACCATCTGAAGGACCTCATAATTTCCTGACATACCTCTCAGGTTTAATATAAGCACGCCAAAGAGTCTGTCCTTCACTTCGTATCCAGGGAGCTCAGACTTATCCGCCTCTGTGGATTCACTTGACATGGGCAGTTGGTAACAAATTGCTTTAGTAATTTGCCGATGGGACCGCTGTGAGCATATAGACACACGCTATTTAAAATAGAAATAAACAGAGGAAGAAAAACGCTCTCTTGCATCCATGAAAAGAAGGTCGATAATGTGTTAAATTCAAAGCAATTGTGTAAAAAGCCAAATCTAATTTTAAGATAATTAGCAATGAGAAAACACAAATAACAAGAAGCCACTGCGATATTGAGGGAAAGTGTGTGTGTGGACGCTCATGGGACGACAAAAATAGACCCTCTCCATCATTAGCTAACACACATGTTCAGGGTCACTGGACCTACAGTATTTACTCTTTGTCTCACACTTCTGCCTCCTTTCGCTGTCTTTTTCTTCCTCGTATTTTACCACCGTTGGTCGCTGCACAGCAGTCTACTCTCACATTTATTTATTGGGGGGGGGGTGACTAATCGGGGGAAGAATGTCCGCGGATAAATCCTGCAATGTTCTTATTTTCAATTCCTCCCCCCCCTCCATCGGTCAATAGGATATAACAGGATAGATCCTGCTCAGGTACGTAGGAGGAGCTCATCAGAAACCCCACACATGCATGCAGACCGATCCTGGGATCGACAGCTACGGTGCACATAGCAGGCGGCGCGGCTCCCCGTTGAAACCAGTCAGTGACTGACACTGTTTGCAGGAATGCACTGAGACGCATTCAGGACACGAGGGACCGCCTACAGAGACGGACATTAAAATAATAATAGATAAAATAAAACAGAGGTATGTCAAGATTAGCATTTCGAGACGGAAGAAGAGAGAGAGCGTGTGAGAGGCGGAGGGCGGGGGGGCATGGGGGGGCGCTGTCAGAGTAGTGGAGCATGAATGAGGCCTGCTGCCCCCCTGCCAGGTGACTTGGCAGCATGGACAGCAAAACCTGGCATCACACTGAGAACACACCTGCCAATGGAGAGCGAAACGAGGGGGGTTAAAGGGTTTTAGAGAGGGGGGGGGGGGGGGTCAAGGCTGTACAGTAGCAGAAAAAAAATAGAAAGTTTCCAGGAGGTGAAGAGTTCATGGCACAAAGGAGAAAAACTATTTTTAAAAGATATGTCAAGGTGGGGATAAGGAGGAGGAATAGAGAGACGGACGTGCATGAACCTTCTTTGGAAGTGAATCGCCCCTCCGGATGTATTCTTTCTTTTAACTTGCATACATGAATACGGATTAGATATACTGGAAATACCTTAATGATACTGAGACGGTACACAGAGCGCTTAATTGGAGACTTAAAGATAAAAATAAATAAATACCAAACCAAAATAAGCCAGAATGAGGCATGTTGAGAGAAAGGTGGAGATCAAACGAGCGAGAGGGTGTTATATGGCGAAGCGAATGCTACACTTGACTACCACTCTATTATAACCTCTCAGAGCGCTAACGTTAGCCCTTTATTCTGTATAATAGCCCTCAAGCACTAACTCACTACAAGATTCCTAATTAAGCACTCAAGCACCCTGACAAATCTGCATAATGTCTTAAAAAGCTCTCAAATAATAATAACGCAAAATGATATCTTAATTATAAGAAGCAGACATCTGCTGACCAACCGCACAAGGACATATTTTCTGGGGAAAAAAAACGCTGTAGTTTACTGATCTTTAAAATTGTCTTTGTGGTTTAAGTGATTACTGTAGAGGTTGTTACAGTTAATGGCGCCTCTCAAGTTTAAGCCGAGGACAAAGCGGACGGGACTGTGCGACTGTGTCGTGTTTCATCCGCCCGTGAGATCTGTCTGTCGTTAGCACACGCTGTGTCAGCAGACACACAACACAGAGCTGTATACGCATTACAATTATTAAAACATTAGGAGCCTTTCTAGCCAGCTGATGCCAGCAGTAAAAAAAAAAAGAGGGAATAGAGAATGCGATAAAAGGAAACACTGGTGAATGTCACTCACACACAGACACAGTGGGTGATGCCGTCACGCAGCCTCATGAATATGGAGGAATGCAGCTGGGACCTCATCACGTTCATCGATGCAAACTGGGAAAAACTGTTTTTACTGTTGTATGAGAGAGACAGAAAGGTACGCTGGAAGACACGTGTACGGAGGTAAAATACACCAAATCCTAAATGGAACCCGTGTGAGAAGGAAAACTGTCAGGTAAAGACAGATTGTGACCTCATACGCAAACAGAAAAAAACTGTAAATTCAAAATCCCAAAGTATTTCAGGAAAGGAAGGTCAGGTTGCATGTTGGTGTGTTTTGAGGGCAAGGTCAGATTCTCTCCTTATGATCTATAATATGGACCCAAAGGCCTTTGCGTATCACACACACACACACACACACACACACACACACACACTCATCCACAGTGCTTTACTCACAGGTTGAAGTTCTCCTCCAGGTAGCAGCGGTTCCTCAGCAGACCCGCCCACAGCTGCACACCGATGATGCCGAAGATGAAGAATACGAAGAAGCAGAGCAGCAGCACGTTGCCCAGCATGGGCAGAGTGTCCAGCAGCAGGTTCACCAGGATGCGCATACCTGTGAGTCAATCAATCATCAAAGATGAATTATCACACGGCTTACACCATTGGTGCGGAAATCAACATTTGCATATGTAAAGACACAATAACTACAGGTACAAATTATTATTAATGATTATTTGAGGGGAAAATCCTGTTTTTGGTTAAATGCAGAGCCTGAGAGCACCATTTACTGCCCCACATTCTCTGATTAATCTAAACACCCACCAGCAGTCATTCTTTAGTGGCAGACATTATACAATCAGATCAACCCTGATTGCGGAAAAAAAAACGCATGACCCCTGTTGAACTGTGATGACCTCATCCCCCGTGGATCCCTGGTCCTTCAGGGAAGACATATTGAGATGCAAATATATTTAAACATGATGACGGGTAATTGGACTACGAAGACAGAATGATGAGATCATGGCAACCTCGTACTGACACCTGAGAGAAGCGTGTGTGTTATTGCGAGCGTGACTACGTGGCTGCCTCTAATTATCTGATGTGTATTGTGTGCTTTTCAAAACCACACTGCGATGCTGAATAACAACTCAACAGTAGGTTAATGTTTCAGAAACACAACAGTGCATCCGAATTGCCAACAGACTGAATGACAGGAGAGAAGCTGCGATGATGATTATCGTGTTCACACATTAACGACATTTTAACAAAAGCTGAGGCTCACTAGACTACACACTACACACTACACACAAAACCACGTATGAACGAGCGCTAGCAGGTAACAGCTCTCACCACCAGCGCTAATCAGGGCTAATCCACCCGCTTTTACTACATTCATATTACTGTTGTCCTTTTCATTCAGGCATTTTTCAAGTAACTTACAATCAGACCTAAGATGTTATTAAAACAATCCCTAGAATTAAAAATAAGATAATAATATTAGACTGAGCTTGATGCCATGATATTGACCCACGGCTATCTTGAGGAACGGCGATTAGATTCCATGAAAATAGAAAAAAATATTGATGTGTTGAATTTATCAAGCATCAGATGCTTGAAAAAGTGAAAAGTGGAGTATGCACTTTTTATGGTAATGTTATTTTTTGAAGGGCAAGTTTAATCACACCTTTGGCCGGTTTACCAGCATGTCTCAATTTTAAATTGGAAAGCTAAACATTCACAAAACTGGAACTTGTGAACCCATGAAAAGCGTATCTTCTGAGTTCATCCTCCTGTAGCACATATGTGTCCCTCCTGTGGCTAATTTGTCTCGTCAACTGGCATTAGATGGAGAGCAGCACAGCGTCTCTGGTGCGTACGTGTCTCTGGCTGCAGGGCGAGTCTTAATGTCTTTGTCATTAGGCCACTGTTCCATTAGGCCTAATTGGCTGAAGAGAGGGAGCGACGCATGGAGGAGGAGAACAGGAACGAGGCCCTTCCCCAGGGTGTGGCGACCAAACGGGGAGTGCCGAAATAAGAAATAAAGCAGGAAGGAACAATGACAAAGCTAAATGTACAAAAAAAACAAAAAATCAAAGGGAGGAGGGAAAACAAAAAGTAAGCAGAGAGAAAAGAAACATTTCCCAGCCTTTTATGCTTCTACGCTAGTTCCCTTCACTACCTCAGTTTGCCAGTTCCTGCTGTTTTTGCGATGAAGATGGATGACTCCGCTTGCATCCCGATGGAAACACGCTTACACTTTTCTGCTGTTTCTATTTACTAAACCGGGAGAGAAATCTCTTCTCACGCTGGCTTACATAGTGTGGTCTTCCTCGTTTTGTCGGAAGGTTACAAACTGAGGCGGTTGAGGGGTCAGGACGTGCTCGTCCTCCGCGTGTACCTGCAGGCACAGTAACGATCCGGCAGGACGAGGAACAAGCGGCTTTAGCCCCACGCGCCCTGAAGGGGTCACCGGTAGGCGACAGAAGCAGGCTGCCGCCCGCCGAGGCAGCTCACTGATCATCAGCTGCTGCGGCTTTCTGAGAATATCGGGCTGAGTCAGTTCCCTGTCAGCGGCACGCACACTAGGAAGCAAAATCAATTCATATACCGCACACAGGCAGTGTTTTCAGGTGTAGAAAACATCTCCCGTATCATTTTGGATTCGTCTCATAGGTCTGTATTTAAAACAAGGGTAAAAAAAATTGCCATTTTATTTTATTTTGTTAGAGTCTATACTCAGTCTTATAATGATATAGCGAGCAGAGCGAGTCATTTTGAAAAATACAATTGGGACTGAACGTTTGGTGAGGCATTTTTTTATCGAGGCTAGATCTAAATAGGCAAATAGACAAGTTAATGAAATCAACATTTAGAAACAAGTAAGTAAGTAAGTAAGAAAATTGGTCCTTATCTGCAAAAAAGTGATATTATTATAAGTCATTCACATTTTACGCTGTCGACGTAATTATAGTACTGCAATTACACTATAATAAGTTGACACATTTAGGTGCAACAAACTACAATTGACATTCAGTTCCTATTCAGCTTGGGGGGGGGGGTAACATCAAAGGGGGAACGTCACTGGAACGGGTTTGTGAAAATTTAGAAACACATACAAAATAAAAAAAAATAATAAGAATTTGAAACAAACAGCATTTCTGGCTACTGATGTGAAATGTCTTGCTAAAGGGACCAGTCTGAACCTGCCGTAGCCCTGGAAGTCTAATTGGTGCTTAAAACAATTAAGAGCTGCCTGTTGGGGCAACAGGACAAAGGAATAATCAATAGGAGTTAAAAAGTTTGCCCGATAACTGCGCTTCGGATGAGAGGAACAGGGTTACGGTCACGGACTGATCAGTGCAGCGGCATTAATGGTTGTAAATCTGATAAAGCTGTAATTCAGGGGCCTGAGCGGGCTGTGTGACTTAGCATGAGATGAATGTTTAATAACCCCCTTGGGGAACAGGTGGCATGCGGCTGCACAAAAGAGCCGGAGATGTTGTGCTGAATACATACATAGATTTTCATGCGGCTGCATTTGTGCTTTATGTGGACTGACAGACACGTAGAAGCACAAAAATAATCTGCTCACCCACCCAAAACTTTTGAATAAAACAAATACACCGCAGGCAAAAGAAAGCGTTCTCACTTGGTACTCTGTTGATGGCTTTGAGGGGCCGGAGGACCCGCACTGTCCGAATGGCCGACAGGTTGATGTTCTGCAGGTCCAGGGAGTACTCCACCATCCTGCAGAAGCACGCACACGGAAAGGCAGAGAAAAACATCATTTAATCTTTCTGCAGACTGGGCGAGCTGCTGGTTAACATGACCCAGAAAAAGGACCCGGCAACCTCCGCTCAGGACACATGAATGGTCATTCTGTTATCTAACCCTCACCTCTTCCCCCCCCAGAGCTGCGTGAGCTGCAGCCGATTGGGAAATGCGCCGCACAGAGCGACACAGCAACGCTCGGGAGAAAGTGGTGAGTGGTTGATGTGACAAAGCATCAAAAGGGGTGAATAACATCAAATGGGGGTGAGAAAGAGAAAGCAGGAAAACAGGGATTCTTTCTATTCAAAGTGCAGCCTGCAGGATGTTGCGGCTCAGTCGGAGGCTGGCATCTGTTAGCAAGTCATTTCCTCAGCAGGGCTAAGCTGTTTGTGCCCCAAAACCACTTTCACAGGAGAATGGCCCCGGTTCGCCGAGTGTGGAAGTGTGCGTTTGAATGTGGCACTCACATGAGTCACACGAGTCTTCTGCCATACATGCATGCACGTCCTAAGCGACCGGACCAATCGGTGGACCTCGCGCGATGAAGCGAGTAGCACCCAAAGTGCGATTGCTGGCTCCAACGAAACAAGCCGGGCTCGCAGAGACGGATTCATGAAGCTCGTCATAACATAATGGGACACTTTACTAATCCCCACAGAGAAGTTATTTCGATTAGGAGTGACACACCAGCTCACACTTCGCACAGTTGTGGTTTGGTCAAAAGTACTGAAATGCCAAACGGCAGCTTGATGAAACTATCACAACCTGGCTCAAACATTTTAGCATCCGCGGTGGTGATTTGATGTGAGCTGCTGAGAGACTAAACAGAAGGATAAAATGTCAAAAGGGAGTTTGAAAACCATTAACGCCGACACATCCTCCGTTTAAGTGAGCTCAAGGGCGTCGAACTGTGATTTAAAAATGCTGCTCGATTAGATTACAGGGTGAGAAATAAGCCAGTGGAAGACGAACCACAAAAGCATAAACAATTGCACGGATGAGGTGGCGTTTGGTTTTGTTCGTGACCCAGTTGCATCTGAGCGACAAGAGCCGTGAAAGAGAGACGATCACAGATGTGTGTGTGTGCAGGCGCAGTGCGCGTGCGCATTGTTTGCGTACGTCTGTGCGCTTCACAGAAGGGTCACTTCCTGTACTGTACACATCAATCGGACCGCCCTGTTTCGGAGGGTAATTAGTGGTCCCTTTTATGATTGTTCGCTATTTTTCCCCATTCCTTTTTTTACCTATGATGCCTTCATCTTATTCATGCTTTTATGTAACTGTGTGTGTGTGTGTGTGTGTGTGTGCGTGAAACGCAGAGCTTCAGAGTAAACCTAGGTTAGAACCTGTGAGAAGTTCAGAGGCAGATTTAACAAGAGAGGAAGGAAATAAAAAAGAATGTGAACTAGCTAGCGACTTAGCTGTCAAATTAACAACATCCATTCATCATCGTTACCATCGAAGTTGAAGTTCCACGTCGAGAGAGTAGCTTCTAAGCATGATTTATATCAAAATAATTTATTTTTTTGACAACTAAAAGGAATATTCATAACCGTGAAGACGTCTGAGGGAAGTGATGAAAAGTGTGAGCTAGCCGCAGTGGATGTTTGTTCCTGTTTAATTATGTATCACAGCCGAGCTACTGAAGGCTAGAAAGGCGAGTCGTCAAGATGTTGTTCCTTTGCATCCATCTAAGGAGTCGCATCTGTTGTCCACCGAGTCGCTTTTCGTTTGGCCTGCATCAGAATGGAGATGGCTGTGGAAAATCATATTTATGTTACCACAGATAACAGCCAGCCAGGGGAGAATAAGTCCCAGTGCAGCGTTTATTATGCTAAGATGAAAATGTACAGTATATAAAATGAAACTGGACTGTGTGTGGGTTACGGAACAAAAGTACACAACCCCCTTTAGAGTGTTGCTGGGCGCATGCCAGGTCTGCGTGGGGCGTGAAGGGGAGATGACGAGGGAAGATGCTCATCCATGCATGTGAGAAAGGAGAGAAAAGGAGAGGGAGGGAGCAGGGGGGGTAGGAGGCGAGGCGGCGCCCGTGGGTAACAGACGTGCAGCTCATAGCAGACTGTCGGCTGTGATTTGGCCTGGCACGTTCGCCGGTGCCCTCTGCAATTACCCCAGACGCTAAACTAACGGACGCTGCCAAGAGGAACGCGAAGACGAGGAGGCGTTCGCGCGCGTTTCGTATCAAACAACACAGGCGCGCACGTGCACTGGCTAAACAAACTCAAAAGGCGCAAACTCACAGACTGTAAGTTTATTTAACTCCAAGACTTAAACACACAAACACACAATGAGCGTCCACCGGGGATGAAGTGATTCGCTCCAAATGAAGATGAATTTCCCTGCACTGTCCCTGGTAAGTGTCTTGCTCTGCCTTGCTTTGTGTGCTATTATATCAGCCGCTCTCCCTATCCATCTCTCTCACACACACACACACACACACACACTCGCTTTGTTACACATGTCTGAGCCTCTCATTACACTTTGTTCAGAGCAGGTGTTTGAGCAGGTGTGTTTGCTTTCGTTTTGTGCACATGCATCCATCCGTCGGATGTGTGTGTATGTGTGTATGTGTGTGTGTGTGTGTGTCCCGTGCAATGGACACTTTGTGAGAGCGAGCAAAACCTACGCAATAACTTACACAATGTATGAGGATGGAATTGTGTGTTCTTGTGGGCAGTTGTTATGGATCTTTCAGCAGTGGGTGTCTCTTCAAAAGCTCGCTTTAGAATTCTTAGTTTTCCATATTTTCACACCTTTTTCCCGTCTGCCTTCTACCATTTTTAGTTCCAAAGTAAGCAAATTGTGGTTTCCAAAGGAAGCAATATTCCACAAAATAAAAAAATCAAGGATACGACTGTGTTTTATTCCACGCCTGACGGGACAACATTGTGTCTCAGTGTCTATAAAAATATTGTACAATTAACTGTTAAACTGTCAAAATAAAAGGAGTTTCCTCCATGAAGTGAAGGTCAATGGGGGCAAGAGAGAACTGCTTCGGCAGCTAAGCGGCTCATTGGGTGCAAACTGTCTCTGTTTTCCCAACAGCAAAAATGGTACGTTCTACAGTGTTTTGGCTCTCAGATGTTCAGCCATTGAGAGGCTGCTCGAGGCTGCAGCCGGGGGGGGGGGAACAGGTGGAAATTGCTTTCCTATGCCGGCAGAAACCGAATCTTTTTGCATTGATGAAAGTCAGAGTGGACGTCTCCGGTCGGACGCCGTCGCAGACGACAACCTCAAAGAGAGCGGGCAGTGAACGCCTCACGAAGCAGGGAAGCTTTCCTCCTCACTGGGTGCGAGGAACCTTCTTCAGGATCCTGAAGGCCAGCCAGGGACCTTAATGGTCTGTCTGTGAAGAAGGAGTGGGAGCCCCCAAAGAGCCATTTCCACCTGTTGGTGTTTGCTCTTGACAGCTCAGAGTCCGGATCACCTGCCGGCCGAATTCCCCCCCACCCCCTCCCCACCGGCTGCAGCTGCAGCCTCGAGCAGCCTCTCAATGCGCAAATTAAAGGGTTTTATTTCATTACTTAGTTTGGTGAGTTTTATTTGGTTTCTATCATCATTTAAATAAAAATGGTTTTGCAATAATTTAACAAGACAATTAATCCCAAACTTTTCTGCTTTTGAGTAACAATATTTCCTTCATTTAAATTCTGTGTTTATTTTGTTTTGGTTATCTAATAAAAAATGAGAGCTTGTGTATGGTGACAAATTTGCCACTTAGGCACAGTGCACACTGGCACAAAAAATGTCACCTACGCACATGAGATAAAAAGCTCACGTAATTTCTACGCACTGAACACTGAACATGCAGCGAGAGCCATTACACACGATTTATTTACCTGCTTGTGACTATGAACACTAAATCATTCAGCTCAGAGTTCAGTCATGAACTGCTGGAGGACAGTCGTCCCCTACACAGCGTGCCAGACATGTCAACAGAAGTGAAGTCCATGTGAGCACCGTGATATGGTCGCTTACCCGGACATGACGATGAAGAAGTCCAGCCTGTTCCAGGTGTCCCCCAGGTAACAGCGACGGCCGAAGATCCCAAGAGCCACCATCTTTATGACCATCTCCAATGCAAAGAAGATGTAGATGAATGCATCAAAGGCCTACGAGCAGATAAAGATGGGAGTGAGAAAAATATCCATCTCGTACATTTTGCCCGAAGCATCTCAATCTGTTGCCAGAGCTCCCTCTTTTTCTATTTTTTCCCCGCTGAATGAGTGGCCCTTGTCATTTCTGAATCATCCTTTTTAAGAGCCCTCCATTGTGGTTTACAGCAGACCTGCTGCTGGAAGAGAAGAAGTATGGCGTCAGAGAATCCCACAAAATGAAAGGCCGAGGAACAAAATGGAACGAGTGAATGTTTAGGCCGACCCATCTATTCAGAAGTAATCCATGACCTCGTATTTTTCATAATTCCAGGGCAATTATGGCCCTTTTTTTTGCAGTGGCCAGTTCACACTGCACAGCGGACTAATCCCAAAGGTCAAAGGAAGGAGTGGCGCTAAATGTGTGTGCGTGTGTGTGTGTGTGCACACTAAAGTAATCCATGTGGTACCCAACGTGAGCCAACCCTCACTGCAACACAGGAAACTCCAGAGAAGAAAGAAGTGAAGAGGGAAAAGAGAGAAAGGGAGATCAGATTGAACTTCAGAGGCAACAAAGACGAAGAGTGAAGAGGCAGCGAGAGAATTATTGGGAGAGAGACAGCGGAGCTCACATCTGGGCCGTGTCCTGCTGCTGTTCACATCACTAGCTCAACCACCCGTTGTATTTTCAGAACAGAACTCTTCCCCGGTGCTTTGCCCCGGGCTGTGTGACTGTTTTGGCTTCCTGGTTACATATTCCTACTACGCAGAACTCAAGCGGCTTCCTCTCCACGCAGAGACTTCCCGAGGTCTAAAAATACAAATAAGAAAAAGTAATGCACCTGCATGGTTGCATCAGCCGCTGTTCCTGATTCGGATTTTAGATCATAACAAACCTTTGCGTTGGTGCTCTACCTGTAATCCGTCTTCAAACAGACAAATACACACACACAAACTCCTACGCCAAAATAAAACCAGTTGGAAACAAATTCCAAGAATCTTCACCCATTTTAATTTATCTTCAAACATCTACAGATAATTGTAGGAATAATCACATGAAATCTTTGGCTGATGAGTTGAAAACAACGCAGGTTTAGAAGGCGTTTGATGCTGGAAGCATTCAGATTTTGAAACATCACATGACCTTTCAAGCTAAATGTCGTTGTTTGATCAAGATATCTAATGCCCAAGACAAAAATAAAGTTGGTGACCTGTAGATCTATTTTTTTAAAAGCGCCTCGTTTGCACTTGAGCAAACGTGTATATGAGCAATCAGCAAGTCTTGCGACGCTTTGTGAGGACGACATGTGTGTTCCATCCCTGTTTATTCACACACACACAGAGCTGGCAGCCTGCAATAGGAAAGAGTGGAAGATCAGTCTTACATGCTGTTTAAATGATGTTTTGATGAATAATGCAGCCCTGCACGTTTGGCGTGTAATCCGACGCTGGCTGCAGCAGTCGGATCCGGGCCGCGCTCAGCGCCCAGTGAACTGGGAATCGACTCATCATATCTGTTTGTCACTACGCTTTCACTTCAGTCGGGTTTGTGAGGAGGTCGAGGTCGCCCTGTGACGGGCTCCTTCTACTTTATATGCTGCCATTGTGCTTGGCGGGGGGGAGAGGACATTTTAACTAGGTCACAGGATTGAAATAAATAAACGTGTGTCTCACCCTACTGGGTAAATGTCAAGACTCATCTGTTTATCATTCAAAAGCCACAATGCAGACGATTATCATTTCACACTGGCTGACAGACGGGACGGGGGAAGTAATAGCTCGCTGCGCGGCTTCTGATCTTCTTCAGCTCCATCAAAAAGGTCGACCGGGTTCCTATTTGAGGGTTTAATGAGTCCTTTCCCATGCAAATCCATTTAAGGTAGAAAAACAAGTTATCATCGAGATCATCGAAGCAGCGGGGAGAAATATTCTTTGCCAGAAACAAATTCCAAGTCACTCACAAGATGACAATTGTATCTTGATTTTTAATAACTTAACTTATTTTCAGTTTTTATCATGTTAAATTCAATCATCAATCACAGTGCGTTGTTGTACGATCCGTCTGATTGAAGTAGCAGTTGGGGAAACCTGTCTGGCTCTTTCTCGAGGTTACACAACCTTCCTACCAGCACAACTTAACAACCTATCGTCTGATTCTCACGTTGGCGCCATGGAAACCAGTGGAGACATGTTTCCCCTACCGATACTTGAGCGGCGTTGATAAGCTATGCAACACTTAGGAAATGTCAAGCCATTTGATTGTATGTTTCGATATTGACCAAAGTGTTCCACATAGCAGCCGAGCCCCCCTTCACTGATACTTTGATCAGTCCCAATCCCCCCATTGAACCCAGTTTACGACCGTGGACACATCCCAGGGAAATGCATTGTTTGTGGCCGATACTTTGTGAGGGGAGGATTTCAAAAAGGGGCCAAAAGAACAATCTTGGCTCTGTCAGCAGAATCCCTCCTGTTACCATTAGCAACCACCAGAACAGGACCCCTCACGCTACCTGGGGAGAGAATACGCTTGTTAGAAAGACAAAGCATAGAGGGAGGAAGAGCGACTGCGTAGAACGAGGTGGGGGCATTGGGGTCTCAGGGAGGAGGGACGATGGTATCGGATGGAGAGGTGGAAGAGGATGAGAGACAGTGAAGCAGGGAGATGAGGATTTGAAATCCCTGCACAATGAGGAGGAAATAAATAAACAAACCACCGTTTGGTCTGGGGGGCTTTTATTGATATTATAATCCACTCTAATGTGCTGCGGGCCAGTGAAATACGGCAGCTCATTAAGTCAACATGGCAAGTCAGAGTTTCAATGGCAATGGAAATTAAAACCATCAACTAATAGCGTTGAGGCAAAATAAGGTCGTCCTTGTCACATGTGAAATTGCCTTCCAAATGAACTTCAGAGGAAAGCAATTAGGACTCCCGAGGAAAACACAGGAGTCCTCAGCAAATTACAGTAGTTATGCACAACACACATCAGCCCTACCTCACGGCTTTTGAGCACAAACAAAACAAAAATGTGTAGTTTAGCAAAAAGGAAAATGATCAGAACAGAACCCAACCTGCTACTTGCCGTGTGGCAGGTTTAACCAAAGAAGCGATGAAAGCACATTGATCCGCAAATATTTGGTTTAATGGCAGTCCTCTTGACGAGGTGCAGTGTGAAGCCCCTTAAAGGAAAAGTGTGATAAGTTGAAGAATAACTCATCCCGTGGGTTCCCTGTGGGAAAGCCACGATGTCGGCTTCTCACACGTGGCTCAGATACTATTTTAAAACTATCTCAGTTCCTAATTCCCTCTTCAGAGGGCAGGATCAAATAATAAGCTGTCAACAAGAAGAGTAGTGGGCTGAGTTCACGTTTCTGCTGATTTATTGTTGTGATGTCTTCATCACTGCGCTCACACACGTGCACACAGAGGTCCAGCTTACCTGCAGTATCTGGCAGCGGTCCGAGGTGCAGTCGATGTTTTCACAGGGCTGGTACATGCCCAGCGTCACACAGTTGAGCAGGATCACCATGATGCTAATCCTCTCGAACCACGTATTAACGGGGCTGGGGTTAAGGAGCATAGCAGCTGAGGAGAAACGCACAGCCATGCACACACAGTGTATATATTTCATTTAGTTTGATTAAGTTGAGGCCATTAAACGTAATATGTTTTTGTTTTTTTTACATGTTTCTTCCTCACTTGAGTCCTGGGTTGCCCACTTTTCTTTATCCAGTTCTTAACCTTCTTCACATGTCTAGTTCACTTGTCTCCTCTCTCCTAATCCCTTTAATAACTGTCTGGTGACCCTCTATGAGAAGCGTGTTTTCTCCAGTGAGTGGGGTGCGTTTGTTTTAACTCTGAGTGGGTGGTGGGTCGTCTCCGTGTGTCCACAGTCCTGACACAAGGATAATGTCCAAGCGGAGAACAAATACACTTCACAAGACGAGTTAATGGCTCCAATGCAGACAAAGGTGCTGATAAATTGTTACTTTAGTTAAAATGTCTAAAATAATATTTTTATATAATAATCATATTTATTTATATGTAAACAAATTCACAAACCAAAGACTAAAACTGACTCATCCACAGCTTTTAAGCAACAAGCCATGTACGCTAAAGGTCACGTAGCCGCCACGTTGTAAGTGAGCAATTCTTCAATGAAAATGAAAAGTAGTTTTCTAGCGAATATATTTTTTCTACGTGACAAAAAAAGATGAGTGTATACTATTACTGCCAGAATGCACAAGACAACCTTTTTGTGATATTTAAATGTGTGATCTAAGACATATGTGATGTAAGATATGGCCGCGTAGGGTCAGATCTATCTGAAAGCCATGAATATGTTACAGTTTCAACATAGAATAAATTAAAAAATTGCGCTTAAGTAATTTTGTCCTCATAAATTTGCTCTTACAGAGTGGGAGTGGAATGTGTCATTTGTAACTAGCCTGAACCATTAGAGGAGCCTTGAACTAAAAACTGAACTAAAAAAACATGGCAGTTGTTTGGAAGAAATGTGACTCGATTTGTGAGAAGAGTGAAACACTTTTTTTCACTGAGAAAATCCTCCAGTGTTCTTTTTTGCCTTTTTTCGATTGAAGAGATACGCTGTAGTTCTAATGCAACTGATACTTGAGCAGCATCTACACTAATCTCTTTAGGAACCGCCATTATTATTTGCAAATCAATGTGTGAAACGGGACACGAACTTTTGACATCAGGAGAATCCAGCTGCAATACAACTTCAATATTACACACCTTAAATAAGCAGTTAAACTCGTTAAGGAAATTTGCACATAGCGTTATTTCAGTGGGTGACCTCACATTCAACCTCCTCGCTCAGGGACACCTTTAGAAACAAAGTGATTTGAAGCTCAAGGATCTTCTGAAGAGATCTTAAGTGCACTTTCAAAATAGCTTTTGAACACACACACACACACACACACACACACACACACACACACACACACACACACACACACACACACACACACACACAAACACACACACTATTTGCTTTTATGCAAATATCAAGGGGTTGCAAACATATTTGCTATTCATCACATGCATTCTCCAATAATCTGCATGTCTCTTCCTCCTGCAAACTCTGCTATCTCTTCAGCACGGTGAACACAGTGAAACGGGGAGACACAATGAGAGAGCGCTGTGTGAAGAGAAATATTGTTTTTTAAATATTCGGCCTTCTCCAGCCAACCAACCAAGCCCTTCTTTCAAACACAGGTAGCCGCCCTTTTGGCTGCAATGTTCCTCTCTTGCTTACTGTGAGCAACCTCAAGGCTCCGTCCTGGGTCCCCTCCTCTTCACAGGTAGCAGTGACGAGTCTGACTGACAACAGTCTTGTATGTTGCTTTGGATAAAACTGTCAGCTAAACGAAATGTAATGTAATGTAACTCTTATCCCTCAAAATCATTTCAGTTTTACCGGTGGACGCCTTCCCGTCTTTTCCTTCGATCCCTCCATTTTCTCAGCTTATCATTCATTCACATGTGTAACAGAACGATGGACCAGCAAACGCAAACACTTTGGGACACATCACACCTCAACAGGCAATGGAAAATCAATCAGGCTTGCGTGTGCGTAGTTGTGCGTCTGTTTGTGTGTGTGTGTGTGTGTGTGTGTGTGTGTGTGTGTGTGTATTGCTCCCATTGCACAAGTAAAGAACCTGCCCCGAGGATCTGTGCTTTCAAACCAGGAGAAAAGAGGCGTGAGCTCCCGGGGTGGAAAGTAGTGAGACAGACAGTCTGAGAGGAAAAAAAAAACAGATTTACAAAAAGCTTCAGTTGAATTTTTTGGGACTTGGGCTACAAACAAACCTAAGACGGCTGACAAAGGACATAATCTATATGCCGCTGCGTATTTCCCGTTTTGAACTTTCTTACCAATCTCCTCACAGCTCAAGCATTTAAAAAACAAACACTCGCCGGGCGGCTCGGGGCCAAACGCACAGCTTTTCCCTCTACACACAAACCCCCGACGGTGGACCATTCACCTTCCACCTATCCGAGCTCACAGCATCAGCAGCATCTGCTCTGACACGTGAAGTGACTCAGCGCTGGTGCGAGTTCAGTTTCTTTGTCATACCAAACCCGTAACCTTTCCCTCTCCAGGGAAACGAAGCAGCAGGCGGCTGACTCACCCCCAGCTGATTCCACAGCGTCAGCTGATGGCTGGTCATGTCACTTGCTAATCATGTTGGGAGGCCGCTAACCGAGTGTGACACCAAGGATGCTTTGAGGAGAAAGGAACGGGGAGGCATGCCGTTATTGAGCTTGGACATTTAATTTGATTTTTGCTCTTAAAGCTATTGCATGCGGGGTGGTTACTTTTATAAAAACGTTCCAGGATCCACCCGGGTGAACGTCCTCGTGTGGCTCAGGAGGTTCAGCTCGCATTTTTATGGCTCTTTCTTTCTGTCTGGTTAACGATACGCCTTCTCTCCATTTCTCCTCATTCCAAATCTTCTTAAGATGTGGACAGGGCCTCCTCCCTGTCTTTACTCTCCTCGCATTCTTTCCCTCTTCTACTTCTTCTTCTTCTTGACGTCTCCACCTATTTTTATGCCTGTCCCTCTGCGTCAGGACAGATCTTGTCAGAGACTCGCCTTCCGCTTGCATTTCCCTTTTTTTCCCCATTTGGTGGTTTCCAAATTTATCAAGCTCTCGTTTTGTCTTTGTGATTAATAATTGCAGGATCCTCACTTTGTTTTCATGATTTTTTCTTTTGGTCTATTTTTCCTCTTTTGTGATGCATTCAGGTAACGAAAAGGCAAAGCTAAGGTCAAGTACACCTTCAGTAGGAAAACAACTAATGATCAAAATGTGAAAAAAAATGAAATGATAATGAATGAAAAATGGAAGGGCATGATGCTTGTGTAAAACAAATGTATCACCTGAGTGCCTTTCCTTTTTATTTCATCCCTCAGAAAATGATTTATTCCCTGCTAGATGCAGCATTTAGAAATTCAACATGAAAATGTGCTGATTATTTAACCTATTGGACGCCTAACTAATAATATATAGGTTTCATAAGTAGCAGTTAAGTACTAACTGTTAGTTATTAAATTCAGTCAATATTTTATATACAGCAGACAATGTGCTTCAAAATAAAGCAATTATGATACTATAAATAATACTAAATACATCGTGAAACTAAAGTATTATACATTTTAAAATAATGGGGGCGATGTGTTTTAGTCAGTACTTGATTTAACAGTGCGTGTTTGTGCAATAATCTAGTCTACTAGAAATCAATGTCTGTACCGTCTTATCAGAGTCACCGGGGGAGCGTCTAACTTTAGATATAGTTCCAAGACGATGAAAGGCAAGTCTTGGAGACATTAGATAACTGCTTCTGGCATTTCAGATCAGCATCCAGAATCACACCCAACTTTCTGGCATGCTCACAAATTCCATCGACAAGGCGGTAAATAAGAGTGAATCTAGTGCCTCGAAGCCTCCGGACCTTCTGAGTCATCATGGACGGACACTCGGTTCTTCCCATCTGGGCTTTGTTACGCGTCTATTTTTCCTTTTGTGCGTGAAAGACTGCTCCACTCACACTGCGCATGAACAAAACAAGAAAACTCTATGAGTTGCCTGATAAATTATTCACAAAAATGGGAAGCCAAATGTTTAAGCAGATTTTAGTTATGCAGAATGTCTGTTTGTGCTTGTGTGTTTATGTATGTGTGCTTATTGAGAGCAGGACGACTCATGACTAGATGAGATATCTGTAATATACAATGAGTCTTTAAACAGCCCTCACTATACTCACTGCTTGCGTGTGCGTGTGAATGAGTGGCGCTTTCGAGGCTTAACTGTTGTACCGTGACCTTGCTTCTGTGTGTGCGTGTGTGTGTGTGTGTGTGTCCTCTCTATGATGAAGTGGTGAGGCAGTCAGCCAGGGATCCCCCCACCTCCATTACTCTGCCCCCATCCCTCTTTCTCCCCCACTTAATTTCCCAGTGCCTTGTGGTAAAACTGATCAATGGGTCCATCACAGGCTGCTGTTTTTTTCTCTGCTGGACTCTCTGGCTGTTTGGCCTCATTTGTACGCGGTCCACAGGCTCCTCTGTCCATCATCCTACAGTATCTGCCAACTCTCCCCACTGTGTCTTAATAGTTGAGTCCTCACTGTTCCAAACGTATTTCCAAAGCCTGAAGGAAACTGCATTATTTGTTCGCTGAGTGTTGATCAGCTTAGCTCAGCAAATGCAACTTTTCCTCTACCAGCTCCAGAAAACTTTTTTTTGTGAGGATATCCTCACACTCAAAACACATTTTTCCGAATATTTTTCCAAAGCTGGTTAAATTAAAAGGAGTTTTCTAAAAATGCTACCTCATAAAGACACGCTCTGCCTGGGTAAACCAGCTTGTTTTATATATAGTTGTTCCTGCGAGTTCAGTACTTACAGCCAGCCTGCAACTTCTGCCAGGGCGTGTTAATATATGTTTTTTGCAAGAGCACATATGTTCTGGCCAGTGAGTCATTAACAGCTCGTGACTCCAACTTCTCACTTAGAGCGGATGG